TCCAAGCAGGTGACCTGGGGTGTCACGCCTCCTGATCCTCACGCCAGCATTGGCCCGATGAGGAAGGTGCTGGACACCCATTTTAAAATTAGGAAACCGAGTCAGCAAGGTTAACAGCTAGCCAGAGTCGCCCAGACTGGGAGTGACGCGTGGCCACCTGCCTCCGGGCTGCCCGGCTCCTGCCAACAATGCTTTCCCCCGAACCGTGGTCCCCTGGAAACCAGCCTGCTGACAGACAGGGCTCCCTCCGGCTTTAATAGCGTCAGGTGGTAGATGGCTCCCTAGGGCATGAAGGAGTCAACCCCGTCTGTGCCAGGACCGTGGGCTTAACCGCCGGGAGCTGGCTCATGGTTTTAAATGGACTTTCTGTGTTGAGCAGATCACCACCAGCCTTACTTCCAGGAAACGGCTCGGCCTGTCAAGGGGAAGGAGAGAGCCGGCGGGCAGTGAGGGTGTGTCAGCGGTGGTGCGGAATGACGAGCAAGCCAGTTTGTCCTCGCCAGTGGGGCACTGGCCTGGACGGCTCGTGGGGGGCATCGCCGAGCTGAGCTGCCCTCTGCTGCCCGCTCACCGGCCCTCTCCCAGCTCCTAGGGCAGCACGGACACCCGCCCTCAGGCCCACCGTGTCACCGTGGCTGCTCCGTGGCTCCTGCGTTCTGATCAGTCAGAGAACAAAACAGTTGAGACGCCTCACTTAGGAGGCATCACCTTCTAGAGAGGAGAGATAGGTGCTGGGTCAGTCATCAGATGAATGAGGTCTTTTCATTTTGTGGTAAAGCGGTAGAGTTACACAAAAGAAAAAAAGGATCTGGACAGGGGTGTGTGTGTGTTCATGTCAGAGGAGAACTGTGAAGTCGTCCAGGGGCCTGCATTTCGGGGGCTGCGGTTTCCTGTCCGGTAGTGTCTAAACAGTTGTAAGGAATAAATGGTTATTTTGATCAAAACCAGTATTAATGACAGTTTGTTTGCTCACGCATCACTTTTGCACGATGAAGGGCTAGGCCTCAGCTTCCTCCTGCCTGTTCAGTCCACTTCCCTGGGCTCGCTGGCGAACTTGCGGGGGCAGGAGCCCGTGGGGAGGGAGGGAACAGCACAGTCCGTCTGGGAGCAGCTGTGTCCCCACCAGCGTTATTCCCGAAGCTACATGTACTTTGCTGGGGGCTCAGCGAGGTGGAAAAGGATGTACTTGTGCAACGTGCTCTTTGACCTCTTGTCACATGGACTCACGTAAAGAACGTACTTGTCAACCCAGCTGGACCATGAAAGGAAAGGAGACAGATTAGAGCTGAGTTGACAGGAATGGAGTCAACAGAATAGTAGTGAAGGAAATGGAAGACAGCCATGTGATAGACTGGAGAGGCTTTCCAGTAAGAACCCAGGACAGTGAAGGTGCCACAGGGCGTCTCTCCCCTTTGTCACTGTTGTGTTGGCCGCACTGCAGCTGCCCGTGGAGAGGCTCCTGTTAAACAACAGCCGGCAAGTCGTGCTCAGGCCGCAGAGAGTTCCTGGAGGAACTGGGAATACAAAACAGCACAGGAAAATCACAGTCGTCCAGCTGTGAAGTCACACGATTCAGCTCTGGCACAGCAACACCGTAAGAGAGCGGAGCAGCCTGCCCCCTGCGGCTCAGTGGTCGAGCATCAGCCCTGCACCAACAGGTCACAGGTCCGATTCCCGGTCAGGGCCCAGGCCCAGGTTGTGGGCCTGATCCCCAGTGGGGGCCGTGCAGGAGGCGGCCAGTCGATGTTCTCTCTCATCGATGTCTCTGTCTCTCTCCCTCTCCCTCTCTCTCTGAAATCAATAAAGAAAAAAAAAGATACCAGAGAAAATAATCCCCTCTTCATGGAGCTCTCCAAGGGAGGAGATTTTGTTCTCCCTCAGTGAGTGATTCCTGAACATCTCCTTGACCTTGGAGGTGGGTCGGCTTTCTCGTTGCCGTCTGTCTTCGCAGTGACAGGTAGTCACGACTCCCTCGTTCACGTTAAACGACGCCCTTTACCCGACTTTGTACGTGAACCTGCTCTTCCCGGAAGGAAGGCGGGACGACCGCGTGCGTTTCTAGCTCTGTCCGTGGCCTTGCCCGCAGGCGTGTCCCGGGAAGGCTCGGGATCCGTGGCACACCTGCTCTTCCCGGAAGGAAGGCGGGACGACCGCGTGCGTTTCTAGCTCTGTCCGTGGCCTTGCCCGCAGGCGTGTCCCGGGAAGGCTCGGGATCCGTGGCACTCCTGCTCTTCCCGGAAGGAAGGCGGGACGACCGCGTGCGTTTCTAGCTCTCGTCCGTGGCCTTGCCCGCAGGCGTGTCCCGGGAAGGCTCGGGATCCGTGGCACACCTGCTCTTCCCGGAAGGAAGGCGGGACGACCGCGTGCGTTTCTAGCTCTCGTCCGTGGCCTTGCCCGCAGGCGTGTCCCGGGAAGGCTCGGGATCCGTGGCACACCTGCTCTTCCCGGAAGGAAGGCGGGACGACCGCGTGCGTTTCTAGCTCTGTCCGTGGCCTTGCCCGCAGGCGTGTCCCGGGAAGGCTCGGGATCCGTGGCACACCTGCTCTTCCCGGAAGGAAGGCGGGACGACCGCGTGCGTTTCTAGCTCTGTCCGTGGCCTTGCCCGCAGGCGTGTCCCGGGAAGGCTCGGGATCCGTGGCACTCCTGCTCTTCCCGGAAGGAAGGCGGGACGACCGCGTGCGTTTCCAGCTCTGTCCGTGGCCTTGCCCGCAGGCGTGTCCCGGGAAGGCTCGGGATCCGTGGCACACCTGCTCTTCCCGGAAGGAAGGCGGGACGACCGCGTGCGTTTCTAGCTCGGTCCGTGGCCTTGCCCGCAGGCGTGTCCCGGGAAGGCTCGGGATCCGTGGCACTCCTGCTCTTCCCGGAAGGAAGGCGGGACGACCGCGTGCGTTTCTAGCTCTGTCCGTGGCCTTGCCCGCAGGCGTGTCCCGGGAAGGCTCGGGATCCGTGGCACACCTGCTCTTCCCGGAAGGAAGGCGGGACGACCGCGTGCGTTTCTAGCTCTGTCCGTGGCCTTGCCCGCAGGCGTGTCCCGGGAAGGCTCGGGATCCGTGGCACTCCTGCTCTTCCCGGAAGGAAGGCGGGACGACCGCGTGCGTTTCTAGCTCTGTCCGTGGCCTTGCCCGCAGGCGTGTCCCGGGAAGGCTCGGGATCCGTGGCACACCTGCTCTTCCCGGAAGGCGGGACGACCGCGTGCGTTTCTAGCTCTGTCCGTGGCCTTGCCCGCAGGCGTGTCCCGGGAAGGCTCGGGATCCGTGGCACACCTGCTCTTCCCGGAAGGCGGGACGACCGCGTGCGTTTCTAGCTCTGTCCGTGGCCTTGCCCGCAGGCGTGTCCCGGGAAGGCTCGGGATCCGTGGCACTCCTGCTCTTCCCGGAAGGAAGGCGGGACGACCGCGTGCGTTTCTAGCTCTGTCCGTGGCCTTGCCCGCAGGCGTGTCCCGGGAAGCCTCGGGATCCGTGGCACACTCCTGCGCCCCTCGGTGTCTTGTCAGCCCGAGAGTGTGTGTGTGGATAACCCCAACATTCCAGCTCCCGAGGCTCCGGCAGCGCACCCCCGGCCCCGCTGACCGCGGGGACGACACGCAGAGGCTGGGACGTGCGTCGTGTGTCTGGCTTTCGAGGGACTTTCCTGCGAACGACCCCCACGCTCAGCCCTGAGCGCCGGATCTCCTCGTTCCCTCTGCTTTCTCAGGCGGCTCTCCGATCAGGTGGCAGGAACGTGATGGTGTTTTTTTCTGCTTCATTTCCCGAAGGATGTGAGGTGTTCGTGACTAAACATTAGCAATGGTTTATAATCACGGTCTTTCGTTGTTTGGTTTTAGAATCTTTACTTTTCGTCAGTAAACAACATGTGTGTTACCAGAACTTTTCAGAAATGCAAAAAAGTAGAGTACAGAGCTGCTCTCCCCTTGCCCACCCCGTTCCCGGAGGGACCCGGTCTCAGCGGGTCACTCTGTGTCCTCTCAGAAATGACTGAAGGATAGCAAACCCCTCCCCAGTCCTGTGCACCGCGAATGCTCTTTTCCACTTGCTTTAGCTCGTAACTTATCTTGGAGGGATTTGCAGAGTTGGGCACGAAGAGCTGTCTCGTGTCTGTGGCTGCTTAGAAGTCCCGCAATGTATCCGTCAGCCCCTGTTGATAAACAGGGACCAGTATACACTGTCCTGTGGGAACCTAACCCTTGTTTCTGTCCCTTAACCGGTCATTTAAGTGGCTCCGTTGTCTCGGACGATTCGAATCGCAGGGCCTCTGGACAGTGGTACGTGAGGGCCTGCTCTGCCGGGGTGTCCTTGAGGACAGGCTCACCTGCTCGGTGTCCGCAGTCCTGGCGTTGCCCGTGCCGTCTGCATGCCTGTCCCTCCCCCCGCTCCCCTGCCCTTCCCCCCACTGGGCAGCCCCTCCCCCACCCCGTGCCAGTATGGGACGCTGTGCCGTCTTCGATCCCAGAGACCCGGGCCGGAGGCTCAGAGCAGGGAAGACACCTGCACCCCAGGTGACGCTTCATAAATCCTGTGTCCTTTTCACGAAATCCAGGCTCTGAGGGTTCGGTGAGCAGGACCGTCGAGGGCCTGTCCTCATTGACCTAATGTTCAGGTCAGGGAGACAAATGCGCATATAAACACACCAGGTAATTTCAGGCCACGATACATGTCATGAAAGAATATAAAAAGGAAATTTTAAAATGTAGAAAATAAAGAGAGAAACAATATTAAAAGGAGGTGGTAAGCGGCAGTCGGCGAATCTCCTCCTCCCTCTGACCAAGGCATTTGGAGAAGTCCGAGTAACCGCGGCCTCTGCGGTGGGGGGCCGGGGACTTGGTGACTGAGGCCACGTGTGGGCCGGTTCCCACCCGCCAGCTGCAGGGGGCAGTGACGCCCCCGGGGGCACAGGTGAAGTGGGGGCTGCCCGAGCCGGGTGCATGGGAGTGGTCCGCGGGCGAGGCCGCCTCACTGGCCAGGTGCACTTCTCCGTGACAGCTCCCTCTCTCTGTCTTCCAGCTCCAGGGCCTGAGCCACAATGTCATCTTCACCTTGGACACCCTGTTGAAAGGGGACCTGAAGGGAGTCAAAGGCGTAAGTGTTCAGAAATGTGATTTTCACTGGGACCTGGAGGGATTGATTTATTTCTCTCCTAAGACTGCAGTGGCGCTTGTGTTTGAAAGGCATTGTTTCCCACACAGTGTTCAAAATGGCCCGTGGAAAAGAGGTGCCACTTGCGTAATGTTGCTGACTGAGGAACAAGAGGGGACACTTGGAGGGAGATGGAGGGCCCGGGGGGGGTCAGTCTGCACCCGGTCTGGGCTGCATCTCTGGTGGACGCCCTGAGCCCAGCCGGGTCCTGCCTCGGCCCCGTGCCCGGGAGCCGTGCCCTGCCCCCCTCGGGTCTCACTAGCAGTGTGACGTGCATGCAAGCCTCTTGTCAGAGTTCCCAGCGTCCCCCTGAAAGGACAGCATTTTTGCAAAGATGTTACTTCATTCACAGTTATGTACTCACCTTCCTAATAGCACATCTAATTTCAGTTTCGTTTTCTCTTTTCTAAGGATCTCAAGAAGCCATTTGACAAAGCTTGGAAGGATTATGAGACGAAGTTGTAAGTGGTTTTGGTTTTTGTTTGGTTTGGGGCTTTTTATATTGTGAGCTTCCTAAGAAAGAGAATGACGGGGAAAAGGACGGAGCCCTTAGCTTGCATCCTCTGGACAGAACATTGATCAGGACATGCTGAGGGGCCGGCCTGCCTGGTGGGCTTGTTGTGAGGGGTCAGGAGGCGACACAGGACCAGGCTGCGGGGCGAGGCGGGAGGAGAGACGTATTTGAAAGCATTTAATAAAAATCTTGGCCAAACACTCAGTAACTATAAACATGAGAGAATAAAAGCATTTCCGAGGGCGGCAGTAACAGCAAAATGACAAGCAAAAAAATAATTCTGGAATAAATATTTTCCTCCCAAACGACTTCCCGTGATGTCTTACGTAGTAAGTGCATTGTCGAGACTCGTGTCTCAGGAACACTTGGTTCGTGCACAGTTGTAAAGGCACAGAGAACAAAAAGGCTCAGACGGGTCAGCTGACGCGGCGAGCGCCGCAGGCCCTCGGCTTTCTCGCGGAAAGCGGGTCGCGAGCGCCCACACGTGTGCCGAGGCCTGCCCGCCCCGAGCAGCTGCGTGCACGCGAACCGGACGGAACAAGCTCACGAAGCGGGCGGTGAAGACGGAGAAAGGCGTGTGCTCTGGGCTTGCTGCGGAGAGACCTCTGCAGGACGGAGGAGGCGCAAAACAAGGTCCGCGCTCCGTCAGCCAGGGGGCCGCACGTCTTGGTGGCACAGCCGTGCTTATGTAAAAACCCGTGTGTTGGTGAAGACCTTGAAGTGTCTGGTGGGCAGTGCTGTGACTGTTCAGGTGCCGTTCACAGCACCTCTGCCAAACGGGGCAGGGATCGTCCGTTCACTTGTCTGCCCTCGAGAATCTGAACGCGGTGAGGATGCGGCCGCGTGTCCGGTGTTCGTCCCCCAGGGCCGACCAGAGTCGTGGCGTGTAGGTGGTGCACAGGAGCGTGCACTGAGGCATAAAGGAAGTGTTCAGACCTGGGACGGTACAACAAGAATAGTGAGTTGAATGGGTCCTGATTTTAGGACTTCGCCAGGAAGATTTTTGGTTTTGTCTTTGTTTTTTAATAAATCCCTGACAACAAATTATTTTCCCCAAGATAGGCTTCTTTTGCCCTGGCCAGTTTGGCTCAGCGGTTAGAGCGTCGGCCTGCGGTCCAGAGAGACCCGGGTTTGGTTCCCGTTAAGGGCACGTACCTCGGTTGCAGTTTGTCCCCGGCCCTGGTTGGTCGTGCAGGTGGCAACCACTCAATGTGTCCCTTTCATGTCGATGTGTCTCTCTCTTTCTCTCTCCCTCCCACTCTATCTGAACAAAAAATGAAAAAAAACAAAACAAAAAAAAGAGATAGGCTCTTTCTCTCCTACGTATATATAGTCAGAGAAAAAAAAGCCAAACATCGATTTGATGGAGTGTGAGGCTCATTTGATTATGCATTACAGAACACCAAATGACTGAATGCAAAAAAATTTTTTTAATGTACAGCTTTGGTAACCGAGGAGGCTGGGCGTTTCTGTGGTCCCCCTTCAGGACTCCAGCGGCAGTGTGAGGTCTGGTTAGGATCACAGACGTGGGGATGAGACCTGCATGAGAGCTGTAACTTGGATGATCCTCACCTGTAGAATGATACACATTCCCTACATCTCAAAGTTTTTGGTTTTTTTTTATCCTCACCTGAAGACATTTTTCCATTTTTTGTTCAGATAGAGTGGGAGGGAGGGAGGGAGGGAGGGAGGGAGGAGGGGGAGAGAGAGAGAGAGAGAGAGAGAGAGAAACATCGACGTGAAAGGGTCACATCGTGTGGTTGCCACCCACACAATCCCAACCAAGGCCGGGGACAAACGGCAACCAAGGTACGTGCCCTTAGCAGGAACCGAACCCGGGACTCCTCGTTCGTGGGCTGACGCTCTAACCGCTGAGCCAAACTGGCCAGGGCATTTTTATTAGTTTTTTTAATGATCAAATATTATTTGGTCAAAACAGTGCATGTACCTGAAACATCAAATAGTGCTCGTCCCAGAGAAGACTTGCTCTGACTGTGTGGAACAGAAACCCCAAACAGCCACGCGTCAGCTGGAGTTGAATGTAAAGCATTCGAGGGCGCACCCTTTATAGCACTTCTCACAGGACACATCAGCTGTGTGGCCGGCACCTGTCTGTCGTCCTCAGTGAGTTTATGCTGCACCCAGTGATACAGGGTTGTTTCCAGTGGTGAAGGGAGGGTGAATGTTGGGTAGGCAGCCAGGGAGCTTCTCGTGGAAAAACTCAGCCGCCTCCGGCCACCCCTCCCGCCTCCTGGTCGCTCCCCTTTTTCCACGCTCACCTGTTATTAATACAGTTGTGCTGAGTATTGATAGTCATTGTCGGTCTCAGTGAGGTGTTATGGTTGAATCTCCATTCTTACAGTTCAATTTTCTGCTTTTTCTTGGAGAAATAATTACCTGATTTCTTCCTTTGCTTAATTTCTATATGAATCTTTTGTGGATTTCTGTTACCTGTTCCAACAGATGTCCAACAATTAATAATGTTTCAGTTTAGAAAATGCATGCTATGTATTATTATGGTGATTAAATATCTGATTAAATCCCCTGTCAGTCCCTTCCTTTCTCCCCTGGACACATCCTTCCAGAGCTCTGTAGATCAGTGGGGCTGCCATTGTGGGCTGCCCCCTAGTGGTCGGTCTCCTCCTTCCCCTTTCCCAGGGTAGTCCCAGTTTTGCTGGCCACCACCTCTATCTAGTCTTCTAGGGAACGGCTCTGAGGAGGTAAAATTTTCAGGTCTTGGCATGTCCAAAACTATCTTCATTCTGCCATCACATAGAATGACAGTTTGGCTGAATGTATAATCTTAATGTTTTAATAATTTTCTTTCAAAATATCAAAAACATTACTCCATTGTTGGTAATGAAAAAAAATCTGATGCCTCTCTGATCCTCATTTATTATTCTGTGACGTGGAATTTTTTTTTTTTTGAGGGGGGTGGGGCTGTTATTTTCAGTTAGAAAATATTAAGGTCTTCTTTTTATAAAAGGTTTTAGAGAGTTTATGTCATGGGCCATGGTGTGCGAATTGACCTTAGATTTGCAATTTTCATTGTTTCAGTTCTGGAAAATTTTTCTTGTAGTTCCTCTCATTTCTTTCTCTCTCTCTCTCTTTCTTTCTTTCTTTCTTTCTTTCTTTCTTTCTTTCTTTCTTTCCTTCCTTCCTTCCTTCCTTCCTTCCTTCCTTCCTTCCTTCCCCCTCCCCCTCCTCCTCCCCTCCTCCTCCCCTCCTCCTCCTCCTCCTTCTTCTTTCTGGATTGTTCTTATAATTCTCTCTTCTGTTTGTCTATGTTATACTTTAGGTTATTTCTCCAACCTTTCTTGCCCACTGTTTCAGTGACTTTTTTATGTTGGCTGTCATATTTCCAGTTTCTAAAAGTTCTTTATCTCAGTTAGCTGGGCTTTATTGTGTGTTTTATTTTGGGGCTTTTTATTTGTTTGGTGTGTTATTTGTTTGTTTTGTTTTGCCTTTTAATCATTTCTTTTCTTGTTTCATAGACGTACTATTTTAGCTCTCTGAGGATTTGGTGATGAAATGTTTCTTCTCCCTTTTTCCTCTGGTTTCTGTCGCCACTGCCCCTGCCATTTTTTATTTCGATCTCTCACTTTCATTTTGAAGCCTTTTCTTAATTACCTTATCACCCTGACTGCCAATTCATGCTTCAGAACAAGGCACCCAGACGTCGATTAAAGGCTCACGTACATCGGCAGGACTTGTCAAGAAAGCAGTGAGCTAGCTGCCTTTTAGGTTTTAAGTTTTAGGATGTCAAGACAGCTTTTCTGCAGAAGTATTCTGCAGGTCGGCTTCTGCAGGTCTGTCTGCTGGACCAGTGAGTTCCCTCGGCCGCCTGTCTGGTGATTGTGTATCATAACTTTCTGGACGCTACACAGGGCCGTAGGCAAGCAGCCTATCAGCTGGGGTACAGACTGCTTCTTTCTTGACCTGTTCTTTCAGTTATTTATAGAATTCTCACATCCTTTTTGTCTCCAATTCTTGTCTTTGGGACATTACACTTTTTTAATGACTTTACTATCACGTTAGTGGAATTGCTGAACGAAGAAGCAATAAATACGCGTGACCTAGTCACCATGTCCACTCAGAAGTCTGTTCTTTCTGCTAAGTTGTGCCTGGCCCTCATGTGTCTTCTCGTGTGGTGATAGCAGACTGTTGCTTCTCCCACCCCACCAGTGGGGAGGCTGAGGTTTACTTCCTGTCCGGTAAAAACCCAGCATCACGCCTGCGTGGCTGCCAAGGTGGCGTGATGAAGGGCTTGCTTGATAAGCACTGGGGTGTTAGCGTGAGTCCCACCAGGTTTGTAATGGGTTTTCCATTGATTGGCTGGACGGGCTGATTTTTCCACTGTGTGTATACAGACAAGAGTATTGCCTTTCTTTGGGGTTTGATTGTCTACCAGCACAATTTAAAAGACGACTTGAAGACTAACTCACTTAGTCTTTGCACTCACAACTAGAAATTACAGGCAGTTTCTGAAATTAGAAGACTGTTTTCGAGTGAAATGGGTTTTTGGAAAGAGGACTGTGACCATTGATGTTATTACCAGAGTAGCATCTGTCAGAGCCGAAACCGGTACTTACGTAGGTTTAATGTGGGGCCTCTTCCTTCTCATTCTCTGGTCCCTTCCACACTGAGGAACGTTGTGAAGATTCTAAACTATAGCTCGGGGTGTCTTTCAGTCCTTACTTTGTACAAGCCGGTGCCGGGTGGTTGAATAATTAAAATGTGTCATTGGATACGAAAACAGCCCAAGTTTAGAGGAATATTGGAGATTACCTTTGACTAATTTTTGAGCATACCCACAAGGACCCATTATATACTTTGTCTTGAAATAATTCTAAGTCTCATCATCTGTTGAAAATCACAATATGCCTCAGTTCTTCAACTTTCTGATTCTTTTCCATCATAAAGTATTTGACCCAAGAAAAAAGTCAAAACTGTCAAAATTTCTTCATGCCAAAATGTAAGAGTGTCTGTGAAGCCATTCTATGTGAGATCAAAGTTAAATAGGAGACTTTTGGGGGTGAAAATCTATACAATGTTTTTTGACTTTGAACTTAGACTTTTACTTCTGATCGCTGCTACCAACTTATTCCCGTGTCTTAACTCTAGTAATTAAGTGTGTGTGTGTGTGTGTGTGTTAATGGTGACATCTGCTTTAATTACAGCACAAAAATTGAGAAGGAGAAGAGGGAGCATGCAAAACAGCACGGGATGATCCGCACGGAGATCACCGGGGCCGAGATCGCCGAGGAGATGGAGAAGGAGCGGCGTCTCTTTCAGCTCCAGATGTGTGAAGTAAGAGCAGACTTGTCAGCCGTTTGCCCAGTGTCCGCTAGCTGTGATCCTTCCTGTGCGTCAGCAGTTCTCAGGCAGAAGAGCAGGCTGAGTTTGATTACTAGAGGAGGGGACGGTTCCTTAAGGATCCTGATCTCCTCTTTCTCCAAGCCTTTGGATCATCCGTGTCACTGTTGTCTCAGATTTTGAGCCTGGGGCCTATGAGGCTCTAAGCCAAAGCGGGATTCTTTGGTGAGAACGTCGATGTTGCTTGGGAATGGGCGTGGAAAGAAAAATTTGGGGAGAGGTAACCTGGGTGAATATTTGGTTTTACTGGTACAGGGTTAGAGCGTGTTTTGTTTTAACCAGATGTCCGGTTCGAGAAGACAGCCCCTGAGTTCATGAGAAACAATGCAATGGGAAGCATGATGCCTTACGCTCAGAGCAGTGGTTCCCTGACTGTGTTCCCCTGAACTCCGCCACTCCTTACCCTACACCAGCCCCTCTGACTTTATGTTGACTAATTCCTTTTGCGGTTTCGGAAACTATGCACAGGGATAGAATTTTCTCAATGTTACGTTTTTCTTCCTTAGTTTTTTTTCCTTTTTTTTCCCCCCACCCTCATAAACCTTTGGCTCCTCCTTGAACTTGTCTGCTCCTGAACATGTTCACACAGTAAAACACGTGAACAAGAGGCAAACACTGTCCACAGAAAGCCTTGGCCAGTTGTGAAGATCGGAGCAGTCATGCTTAGTGCATAAACTAATAATGCTTTTTTTTTTTCTTCATTCTTTCATTTTGAGTAGCAAGCCTTCGCTCCAGTCCACCTCCTTGGTCTAAAGGTGTTACTACCTTGCGGCGTAGTCCTTGGAGAGAATGCTGTTTCGCTTGTTTTCTGCAGAGAACGATCCATTTTGCAGGTCTTGACCACGGGAACTCTCAAGTTTGAGGGCGACCGCGCCAGGGGAGATAAATCCGTCATTCCAGAATGTGTGGCTGTGTTTGATGCCTGCTTGTCCAGTGAACTAATTCGGGCGTTTGTGAGCTGCCAGCACTGACCAGTTTGTCAGCGCGCTTGTGCTGTGCCGGGCCGGCGTTTCCTGAATGAAGCTCATGCCGGCTGAAGGCAGCCGGGGCCCCGCAACTGGTGCAGATTCACAGTGGGGGGCTGCCACCCAAAACCAGGACCGAAGAGCCCTGCTCGCAATGCTCAACACCCCTTCTGTTTTATTTCCGCAGTATCTCATTAAAGTTAACGAAATCAAGACCAAAAAGGGTGTGGACCTGCTGCAGAATCTCATCAAGTATTATCACGCACAGTGCAAGTAAGTGGAACGTTGCCATAGTGACTAAGAGCCCAAGTGAGGACGCTTCACTTCCGATATTTCTTTCTTTCTGGGGCCTTCATCTGGTCACTGTAGGGGGATACAGTGGCCTTCCCCAGCCAAACGAGGAGAAGCAGTACTGTCATCCATATTCGGTGTTTTCTATAAATCAGGAGCTCAAATTAGTGCACCTGTTTGGCTACTTGAAAATGCCGTGATGTGGGAAGGCTGCCGCTGGCCAGAACAGCCTGGGGAGCTCGTATGACGGACACGTGTCACTGAAGAGGCCTTCCTGGGGGCCCTCTTCCCTCCCCCCGTACTGGCATCTTACCTGTTATTGGGTCATTGGTACCACATTTTTCTACTTGGGATTTGGTTCTTTTTTCCATCGCCTGATGTAAGTGAAATTAATCACTTGGACGGTGAGAATACTCTGCGTTAGTACCTGGATTGCTGGTCTACCCTGAGAGACATTCGCGGTACTGGCCCTGTTTCTGTTTGTTGGCCTGGCCGGGCTACCCCTTCTTGAGGTTTGAGGTTCGGCGACACCACACTTGCTTTCGTACCTTGTGTTTACTAGGCTTAGCTTTTGTGGGGTTTCTGGGAGGTTTTTATGTGCAAAGGTGCCCGTTCCATACAGTCTGTAATGAACTGGGGAGAGTTTCAGAGAAAGTCGCGTAGGGCCTCCACGGTGGTCCGGGCAGAGCTCATATTTACAAATGGAGGAACATAAAGGTCACTGGACCAGACAGGGCACTGAGTTAAAATGTGTCATTTCCTTGGATAAGCTCTCTTAATCCTTTTAATGGTATTATGTCCAGGAAGATCTTTGCATTTCACGGGAAACGTTCAAGGAGGTCCGCATGGAGATTGTGGGACCCGCACAGGGCCGAGGCGGGCAGGTGGGTGGGTTCGAGTCCGGGCTGCCTGGGTGACCACGTGGTCTTACCCGTGGCTCTCTAGCCCTCGGCGTCCGACCTGGGGCTCTGCGAGGACAGTGGGGGGCGCTCGGCCCAGGGCCCGCTGCCTCCGCCTGTTCGCTGCCGTGATGATTCCAAGTGGCTGAAAATCACTCATCCTCAGGCTGGTTACACGGTGTTGTGTCTCTTCGGGAAAGTTTTTTTTTTTCTTCTATTTATCTTCAGATAGAGTGGGAGGTAGGGGGAGAGAGGGAGGGAGAGAGAGAAACATCGACGAGAGGGACACATCAACTGGCTGCCTCCCACACGACCCTGACCAGGGCCGGGGACGAACCGCAGCTGAGGTACATGCCCTTGGCCAGAACCGAACCCGTGACTCCCTGGTCCGTGGGCCAACGCTCTTAACCGCTGTGTCAAACTGGCCAGGGCGGGAAAAGCTTTTTAATGATCACATTGTTATTTATATAAATTTGATTTAACTTTTTCCTCTTGTCAAAGTAAACTCCACTTCGTATAAGTGTGTTTTCAGGTATAAAAATAATATATTGCAGTGGAAACAGGAAACAGTTTCACGTTTATAAGATAAATTTGCCTTTGGAAGCCTCATACTGAAGACTGGGACTGACCTTGGGCTTCGTAGTCTAGCGGGGTGTGTGTGAAACCCGAAATGCGTGCAGTGGTCCCTGATTTTAGTTTAGGGTGAAGTTTTCCATCTTTCCTCGATTCCAGCCTTCCTAGAAACATAAGTGAATCTCGCAGTCTTCCCAATTACCACGCTTTGGCAGCAAATCTGATTTCAGAAATCTCTTTTGATCTCAAATTCTCAGTCCACAGAGGGTTTAACCTCCACAAACATAAGTTTTCCAACACGGAAGGTGTTTTGTAACCCATATGTATCAGCCTTTGTTAACAAAGGTGGAGATCGAAGGGCAGCTCTGACCTGTGTGGCTAACTCATCTTTCCTTTGTCCTTGCCTTTTCCCCTGGCCACAGTATTTATCCGTCTCCTAGCAAAAGCCAGGTCCTTTGTTGGGTTCTGGGGTAGAGGTGAAGCAGGCCTCTGCCCTCAGTGAGGAGCCTGGCACGGGACATAAGCTGGGTTCATCAGGAGTCATAATGGCCAGGGCGTGACTGATAAGAGTGGGCATCAGGAGGAGGGTCTCCGGCCAGAGAGACTGAGGAGGGCTCCTTGAAGGAGGTGGTGGCCCTGGGACTGGACTTGGAGAATGAGTAGCCTTTGGCCATTCGGATCTGGTGAAGTGTCTACCCCCAGGGCACAGAGAGCGGCGGAAGGCAACCTTGCACAGTGAAAACCCCTGCAGGGAGAGGTGTTCAAAGACGTGCCGTAGCAGAACTGGGTTACAACGGGATTCGACCCTGGCCGCCGTGTGTGCACTCGGGAACTCTGTCACAGCCAGAAGCCAGCATCGTTGTCTTTTGAGGACCACTCATTCTTCCCTGCTTCAGCCGAGCCCGCCACACGCTTCGCAAGCACCCCCGGACCTGCAGAGCCTCTCTTAGATGAGAGGGTTCACCGTCCGAGTGCTGTTCCCATCCCCAAGATGACGTTCAGTGCAAAGCCGGGTGGGCCTCGAGCCAGTTTGCTCTGGGCGTCGCTGATGTGGCCGTGGGCCTCCCTGGGCCTGGTGGGCGTGCAGCGGCTAGAATGGGAGAGCAGGGGCAGAGAACGCGCTTTCGACTCTCCGTTACCCGTGTCGGCTCACCCACTCCGATGACTCCACTTTCAGTACATGCTGCTTTCAAAACAGACATTGCCCTGGTGCTCAGCCACTCTGACCGCCTCGTGTATCGTACCATCTGCAGGGGATAGGGCACGTCCAGGTACCGCCTTATGACCCTTCACCTTACGGGTAGTTGCAGTCAACATTGACCAAGAGCAGCCTAGTCACCGCAGCTCAGCCAGGGAGCAGCTGGCCCAGGTCACATGCATCTGTTTCATAGACGTACAATAAGCATGTTGAAACAAAGCCCAAGAAACCAAAGGGAAAAAATACATTCATTAGACTTTAAATTGTAAAACTTTTGTGAATGAAAGGACACTATTGAGAAAGTGAAAAAAACAATCCACAATGGGAGAAAATTTGGAAATCATTTGTCTTCTCTGACAGGGGGCTAGTGTTCAGAATGTATAAAGAACTCTTACAACTCAGCAACAAATAAATAACCCAGTTTAAAAATCGGCTAGGGACGTGGATAGCCAGCCATGTATCCAAATAAAGATACGCAAATGGCCAAAAAGCACATGAACCAGAAAGGCTCCGTTGGTCACTAGGGAAATACAAATCAAAACCACAATGCGATAACCACTTCACACCCACGGGGATGGCTGTAGTTAAACGTGACAACAGAATGGGAAACAAGTCCTGGTGAGAATGTCGACAGTGGGACCCTCCCCACACTGCAGGTGGAAATGTACGTTGGTGTAACTGCTTTGGAAATGGTTTGGCGTTTCCTCAAAGTTACACGTAGAGTACTTGTGTTCACGGATGTTCAGAGCATCACTGTTCACTACAGCCGCACTGAGGAAACACCCTCATGCCGGTCAGCTGATGAATGGATACACGGAATATGGTGTGGCCGTGCAATGGAGTGTGTTACCGTCTTCAGCCACTGACAGGGAATGAAGCAGTTATACGTGCTACAACTTAGAAGGATTTGAAACATTCTTCTAAGTGGAAGGAGCCAGACACAAAGGTGCACCTCTTGTCTGAGTCCATGTAAATATTCAGAGCAGGCAGGGGCCTGGGACAGAAAGCAGATTATTGTTTGCTGGGTGGGAGGGGAAGGGCAGAATTGGGGTGACTGCCCGGGTCCAGGGTTTCTTTTGGGGGTGATGGACGTGTTCTGGAATTAGATAGTGATGACAGTTGCACATTGTAAACATACTCAGAACTACTGAATGGTACTTTGCAGTGGTGAATTTTGTGTTACAGGAATTTTATCTCAGTTTTTAAAAGTGTAAAACCAGCAACGGAACTGAAACAAAGATCCGTGCTCTCGTGGAACTTCTGGTCAGAAGGTGCAGAGCCAGGTCTGGGACCCGGTCTGTGGCTCCATTGCATGCTCTGCGTGTGCAGGAATCTGGGCGTGGCGAGCCTGGGGTCGGACCTGGACATCTGTGTTTGTAAGACTCTCCCTATGTGAGTCTAATAGACCACTCTCTACTGTTTTTCTGAACTGTCAAGAGATATTTGCAGTTAATTGGCACTCGCACAAACCACTGTACGTTCGAGTTTCTTAGACCCCATAGGACACTCATGGGGCGTTTCTGGGAGAAGGTGGCACCCTGTTACCTGGAGGGCTGAGTATCAGTGCCAACTTAATCAGAGCCTGGAGCTTGGAGATCAGAGGGGGCTGATGCTGACTTGCTAAGCGGTCACTTTCTGTTTGACTTGCTGTGGAGCCATAGGCCCTGGGGTACTCCTGAGTATCCTGACTTCTCTGGAAAATGGTATGATGTTCCCTGAGCCTTTCAGCCTTTGGCCAAGTAACACCTCTTTCTGAGCCAAGTAGGGTACGTGATAAGGAGCATCAGGAAGATGCTCTGGTCTCTCTTTTCAATTAAAAGCAGGACCGGCCAGTGTGGCTCAGTGGTTGAGCATTAACTCAGGCACCAAGAGGTCACTGGTTTGATTCCCGGTCAGGGCACATGCCCAGGTTGTGGGCCTGATCCCCAGTGGGGGGGATGCAAGTGGCGGCCAATCGATGTTCTCTCTCATCGATGTTTCTCTCTCTCCCTCCCTCTCCCTTCCTCTCTAAAATCAGTAAAGGGAAAAAAATTCTTTTAAAGAAAATATTTAGAAAATGAATTTAATGAAACAGAAAACAAAAACACCTGTGATTGCCTCACTCAGAGGTCACTGGATTTATGTATATGATTTCTGTTGTTTACAAGAAGTTGGATCATACTGTAGGTTAAAGTGATCCCTCATCACACTGATTTATTTTTTAGTCTGTGTGATGTTCTGAAGAATTTAAGTGCAGGAAATACAGTTATTTGGGGTCTTTCTCAGCCTTTTAATTGGTAGGAATTTGTCCCCCTTCAGCTTGCTTTTACTGCTGAAAAATAACTTTTCGTTTTTATCTGTGCCACCTCAAACTAAAACAGTGGCTTTTTTTCCTTAAAATCTGTGCTTTATAACATTTCTCGTGTGCTGTTCAAACATCAGTTTGCTGATTCTTCATGTCCAAAAACCTTTCTGCAAAGATGGAACTATTGATTTTTTTTTTTTTTTTTTTATCCTCACTGGAGGATATTTTTCCATTTTTTGTTCAGGTAGAGTGGGAGGGAGAGAGAGGAACAGAGAGAGAGAGAGAAACATCGATGTGAAAGGAACACATCGAGTGGCTGCCACCCGCACAACCGACCAGGGCCGGGGACAAACTGCAACCGAGGTACGTGCCCTTAGCGGGAACCGAACCCGGGTCTCTCAGGACCGCAGGCCGACGCTCCAACCGCTGAGCCAAACCAGCCAGGGCACTATTGATATTTTTTGCCTCTAACATGATTCCCACTAGTCACAGGTCACTTGCAATGTGGCCAGTGAGACATCACGAGCTGAATTTTACATTTATTTAAATTAGTTACCTGTAACCAGTGGCAAACACGGTATTAGAAAACACAGATCTAGAGTATTCTCATTTAAACTCACTTAAAAATAAAAAAGAACATGATTAAACTTCCTTCATGTTGAAAGAGAAAATGAAACACCTTTACAAAAATATCTTCAAAGAATCTCCATCCCTCTGGGAAGGAAGGAAGTGCTTATATAATAAACCCATGCAGTTCCGGGGAAGGAGCCAGCGTGTGCCGAGCACCCGAACTCCCCGGCACTCGGCCGAGCGGCTTCGTGTGTGTCCCCGCACTCAGCACGTCGAGCACAGATAACGTGAGCGGAGTGTGGCCTGCCCGCAGCTGCCCTCTGACCACAGAGCGCTTCCTGCTTCTGTTCTCAGAAGTCCTGACAGCGTCCTTCTAACATTGAAGGGTCCTCCCCTCAAACCCTTCTCCAGAGATTACTTTAGTGCAGTATCAGAGAACATACTGGTGGCTGTTGCTAAGTTGGTGGCCACACTTCCCTGATGGAGACGATGCTGGCAGTAAGGAGGATGGGCGACCGTGTGAGACACCGTGAGCTTATGGATGGCCTGCTCCGTGGAGAACCTGGCTGGCTGGCCACTGTGGGGCTGGCCCTTCAGCCTGGGCACAAGCCAGTGCTTAGAGGTGCCCTCCCCTCAACTGGCAAGGCTATGGAGCGCTGCTTGGGGAGGTAGCCAGTGAGCTGAGGGGCAAGAAAATGAGAGCGTTTGGCAGGCAAGTATTGCAGGGAAGGGCATTTCGGGCAGAGGGAACAGCATGTGCAAAGACTGACGGAGCAACTAGAAATAGTGTGGTGTGGCTGGAGCCCCGAGTTCTTAAGGGAAAATGGTAGAAGATAAACCAAGAGGATATTCAGGGGCCAGACATAAATGTCATTCAGTTCTGTACCAAGAAGTGTAACTTTCGTCTGCACAGGCAATGACGAAGCCCAGATGCTGGAAGCAAGGTTAAATGCAGCTTCCAGTTAGATGGTTAACCCCAAAGCCCTCCTTGCTCTCATCCCTGTCTCTTCCTCATTTCGGTGAGGGTTCTCTGCCGAAGACGTGGGTCTTAAAGAATTTGGAACTTGTAGGAGTTAGTGATGGCCACTTCTGGTAAAGCTCTATTGTTACTATTGACTGGACACAGTAAGCTGAACATATATGGACCCCAAGATGAGCCCTAAAGATTCTCAACGTACTTCATTCTTTTATTTATACACACACACACACACACACACACACGCACACACACACATATGTATGTATATGTATATATATTAGAGAGAGACAGGAAGGGAGAGGGAGAGAGAAACATTGATGGGAGAGAGACATTGATTGGCCGCCCCCTGCACCACCACCCCCCCCCCCAGGGATCAAGCCCACAACCCAGCATGTCCCCTCACCAGGAATTGAATTGGCAACCTCTCTGTGCATGGGTTTGATGCTCAACCACTGAGTGGGCCTCTGCTTTGTGCCGGGGACCCTGGGGTATGGAAATGAGAGACAGCCCTCGTCCTCACCATCTCATCCTTTTGTGGGGCGACACAACACAGATAAGGTGTAGTGAGAAATGATCTGCTGTGGGGGCAGTTTTCAACCTGCTAGAGAAAGTTCTAGACACTGAAACCCGTCCCCTGAGTGGGCCTGTTCAGACAGGAAACGTCTTCACCAGGTAGGTAAGAGCAGGGACGTCAGAGTCAGAACCTGGACCCGACCCCCATTTCTGCCACCTCCTGGTCACGTGAGGAGCTTGGGCCAGTGATGCGTCATGTGTGGTGCCCAGGTTTGTGGGCATGTCTTCACCGGATTCGAAAATCTGTTTTATACGTGTTTTGTGTAGATACATGTTAGAGAGTAAATATGTAAGCATTTTTGGGTTTTTCAGGTAATTATGATTCATTTGGGTTTTGTATTGCTGGTAAATCTCTGATGTTTTCCATTGTAGTTTCTTTCAAGATGGCTTGAAAACGGCTGATAAATTGAAACAGTACATTGAAAAGCTGGCTGCTGATTTGTACAATGTAAGTTCTTTATAAAATGCATGTATTTTAACTTGCTCTGTAGATAAGTGTCAGTAAATCTGAAACCTGTATTAGAAGAGGGTTAAAGAAAAGAAGACCAGTCGCGTGATGTGTCAGAGTAAACCCAGCAGCAGATAAACCTTCAGCTTCACTCAGAGACGTCATCTGTGATGGAGAGTTCCAGAGTATGTTTGGGGAGCACAGGAGGAGCAGGGGGCAGAGTCTGGCGGTTGCTTCTGGGTGACGCTGTTCGGGTTCACGGGCATCATGGGTGCCTTTACTTCAGCAGGTGCACAAACGCTGTTTGAGCGTGGAAGGGTAAACATTAAGTGCCCGTCTCTGAGTAGGCAAGTTTATGAATTTTTTTTTTTATATTTCCTCTATTTTTTCTCATATCTAGGTTTTGCTTTTATAATAGCAAACTCAAAAGAATAACTTTTTTGAGGAAAAATAAACTAAATGCATATGTTTGAATGTCAGCCTTGATTCCCATAAGCCAGTTGGCCATGAAAAATATTAAGAATATTAAAAGTATATGTTTTATGAGTGCAACCGCTTGTGTTCAAATAAGCTTTTAGAGTTACAGATAATATTGTGTCTTCATATAACTTTAAAAATGATATAGCTATGTGTGTTTTCTGATGTTCTTTTAATGGTTAACATGATTCAGGTGCTGATGAAGTTCCAAGTGTTTAAAAAAGCGGCAATCCTTTGCCCTCGTGTGGTGCTTTGCAGCCTCCTAGTGTGTGGGAGCCATTGAATTGGTCCTGAGCGTCCCTGGGTTCTCTTCTGGCCCTTTAATCTCAGCATGTGTGCTCACTTCCACCTTTTGGAAACACAGAAGCAAGTGACTCCGTGTTATTTCTTGTTTAAAATGGAACTTCAGAATTAATTATCTAGATGTATCATTTAATAAGAAAGCATGTTGCATCATTCACTTATTTCAAAACTCACTGGTACCTTTGTAAGATGAGAAAATAGTACCTCTCATCTCAAAAATGAGACCGTGTGAGGGATCTGAGGAAGGAAGTCAGCTGTATCATTGAATTGTTTGACGAGTGGTACATTTGGGTGGATTAAACACTGCTCGTAAATGTATAAACATAAGTGACAGAAATAATTCTTTTCTCTCTTAGATAAAACAGACCCAGGATGAAGAAAAGAAACAGCTAACTGCACTCCGAGACTTAATAAAATCCTCCCTGCAGCTCGAGCAGAAAGAAGTAGGTGTTCTCTGTCTCCAGCAGGGCCAGCTCTGTGCGCAGGACTCCTGGCGACAGCCTCGGTGTTTCCCGACCTGCAGAGCAGGGCATTGGCAGCTTGCTGCCAGGGCGGTAGTGGTACAGAGGAGAAACCAGACACAAGTGTGTACCGCCGCATGGCCCAGCGTAGAAACCGGGTTTTAAAAGTTCCCTTCGCTCCTGGTGGAAAAAGGTGTTCTGAGCCCTGATCTACAACCGCGTGGCTAGACTTTCCATCCGGGCTTTGCAGATGTGCATTTCAGGAGTGTGTCCTCACACTGTCGAAGGAGGGGCAGCAACGTGCACACCCCTGTCCTCTGTAGCTCGTCTCTCTCCGCGCAGCTGCAGGGGAGGGGGGCCAAGGAAGTAGAGAAACAGTCTAAGGCACAATCCTGCAGAAGTCTGTCCCCCAGTTAGGGAAAAGTGAGAGTCCTTGGATATTGAAACGGAGTATACGAAGCATGATAGATGGCTGCTCCGATCCTTAGCTGTAAATCTCATTTGTGCATCTGTTGTTCATTTAACGAGTACCTGCCGTGTGCCAGCAGCTGCGCTAGGCAGACAGCTCAGGTCCTCTCCATCGAGGGGCGTGGCCTGGGAGAGTGCAGCGCGCCGGCCAGCTGAGCAAGTATCGCACCTAAAGTGCAATTCGGATGCTCTAGGAGAGAGATTGGGCGAGAAGAAACCAAAAAGATTCAGATGCCAAACTGCCTGGCATCTTCAGCAGGAGACAGTCTGGGGTAAGGTGGGTGGAGGCATGAGTTGCCGTTTCTGGGGCGAAAACTTGGCCTGATGACAGGGCACCTGGGATGCACCCTGAGGGTGTGGACCTCACGCTGAGGGTGAACTGATAGTGGGCACCATTTGTTACCTGGGGAAGGTGAAACGTGCCTGTTTATGTTATGAAAGTATTGCACTTTGAGTTTGAATGTAATCTCTAAATGCCATATTTAATAATAATCATAAAATGCAGCATTTTTTATACTTTTAATTCCTCATGCTGTTATCTCACAATGGCAAGCTATTTGTCGTTTCCTAAACTAGCCGAAAGGAATTCACGAGTCCAACCACAACAGAGCGAACCCCCTCAAACGTGGGAAGCCTGCCCAGCAGCCCTGCCCCTGCACAGCAGTTCTGGGGTGCTCTTCACGGGGCGGGGGGCCCTCTCTGCGTCTGCTCCCAGCGTTCATGTACACGTTGGGTCTGTGGGGTGAGCCAAGTCTACATCCCTGGCACACAGGGCCGCTACTCACCTGCGGACAGGTGTCAGTGCAGGGTGACAACGTGTGCCCCTTGCCCCTGCATCCTGCAGAGCCTCGGCCGGCACCTGCACCGGCCTCACAGGCCTCCCTGAGGGTGCTTGTCGCTGGCGTGCGAGTCCTAGAAGGGCTCTCCTGGAATGATGGTTCCGTGTAAGAGCAATAGAAAGATCTAGCTTGTTGGGGAAGAGGCAGATCTCTCTAACGAGAAATTTACAAGGTTATGTGTTGACTGGTATGTACTTAACCGCTTCCTACCTTTGTTTTGTCACACAGGATTCCTTCCTATATAGGGAGGCTTTCTAGGGCGAAAAAAACAAAAACAACTAGTCTCTTTGTTTTGCCTAGAGACTCGGGTTTTCCGCTCATGGTAGCTAAAGGCAAAGTTGCATGTAAGCCAAAGGAGTATGTACATGCAGAAATGCTCGTGGCCTGCTTGATTTTAACTTTATGCCACATTAATAAATGATGGGTTTTCATTAGCACCACGTCCAGAGTATTCTACACGTAAAACGGATCTTACGCAGCATGCCTAGTCCCTTCTCATGCTGTTTAGCATCTCTCGTTGCAAAATACGTTGTGAAGGCAATGGCTTTTAATGACTTCCATTAAACGTGAGAGGAAGTTATCGACCAGAGACTCCTCACCATAGTTCTATGATTCGAGAAGAGTGTAAAGGCACCTAAAGAATGACCCAAGAAATTAAGGCACCTAAGAAATCATTGAACAACCTCATCCCTACCATCAGACTCTTAACTAGACTCCATGAAGCTTCAAGAACTTGAGCTGTAAATAGGACCCCCCCGATTTTTGGCAGACTTTTTTTTTTCTCATCAAAATAAAATTCTTTAATGATTATGTTCGATGAAATTAATTGCCTTAAGCTTTTATAATAGCACAACCTCCCCGAAGAACGGTTTGCCACATAACTTTTTAAGGTTAAAAATGTTTTATTTTTAAAGATGATGTCCATAAGTCATTCCACAACTCCCCACTTTTTGTGGGAGGGTCTATCGTGTGGTTTGCGGGGGGGTCTGACAGATTCTGGGCTTTGCCATCTTCGTCCTCACCGCATCTGCCACACTGCTGGGCACCAAAAACCGCTCGGCAAATATTTACTAAGAAGAAACAGAGGGACTCTCCGCCCGCTCCGTTCATACCTTACGTTAGAGATGGGAAGTTTCGCTAATAGAGGTTTGGCCTTAGATTGGGTGCCAGAAACATTTATGGCCCCATTAAACCAGCGAGTGTATAATTGCTTGGAGCTTAAAAGGATTGGAGATTCTTCTCCTTAATAATGCATTATAAGATTTTCTAATAAAAAAAGTCAGGTAATTTGTGCTGCTAATAGGAAATGGGAAATTGAACTAAAAAAATAATACCATGTTTCACTCGACAGCTTACAATTCTTGGCTCACATCATGGAATTTTCCCCAAGGTTTTATTTTAAATTCATTAGTTTTGTGTCATTTTGCCTGAACAGTTTTTTTATTTGCGTTTCTCTTCCCTGGGTACCTGTTGGTTTTTATTGGCGGAGGGTTCAGAACCTTTTTCCTTCCTTCCGTTTTGTTTTCAATTATTTCAGCGTTACCCAGTGTCCAAGATTTACCTTCTCAGAAGAGAAAATCTTCTTTTCAGTGATCTCCAGTGCCCTGCTAAGCAAGCTGAAATTTCCATTATTTCCTCAAGTGCAGAAATAATTTGTATGACTTTCTGAAGCCATAAAATTCAGTAATGGTTAATTTAGGATGGTTGATGCCAGACTTCTGCACTATATAGCTTCCTCCCTGTTTGGTTTAATGGAATAGTCTTCTGAGGCCAAAACCTAGATTCCAGCCACTTTTTTTACTTTTAAAAGCATCTTTGTCTGATTCGATCTGTTTGTCATTCAGAAGGTAGGATTTATTTCGGCTTGTAATAAATAATGTAAGGGATGTCTTAATGGTACATGTACAGAATGAAATAGTTTTCTAAGTTGTCAGCATCTACATTCCTGTTAAGTATGTAAGTACTTTCCTTTTAGAGCACAGGGTTCATGTCAAAGGTTAGCAGATGGATTGGGTTGGAGAGGGGTCGTCGCTGAGCGTGCTGCCGGCCAGGGAGCATGCGGCCAGGTGGAGAGAAGCGGAGTTCCGTGGAAAGGGTTCCAACCTTTCGCGAGAATTAGTCCAAGGAGAGTTTCGATTTTGTTTTTAATGTTTTGGAGGCAGAGGTATGATGAGTCCGGATCCATAGCTGAGCCATTTTGACTCGGTTGCATTGGGTTCAGGCAGACGGTCTGTGGACTTCAGCACCCGGCTCATGTGTCCTACGCCTCGGCTCTCTCCAGCCCCATCGATTCTCCGTCCTGATTGTCCTTTATTAGTACCGTGGATACACTGCTGCCTCCTTCAAAAAAGCCATAAGTGTTCCCGCTATTGTTAGCGGGACTGTCCCTGAGGGCAGCTCTCTGCCTGTCCCTCCGTCAGCTCCATTCAGGAAGCATGGACGCCCCTGGCAGGGAGCACGGCCCAGCCAGGTCCTGTGGGGAGCCTGGCCGGTTGGAGACAGAACGATGCAGGTTGAGAACGACTGGAGTTTGTTCCTGGTTAGTACAGACTCAGCTGCCTAGCCAGGCGCAGTCAGCTCGGCCTGCGCCCCAGAGACGACACTGGGCGGGTAGTGTCCCCCGGAGACGGGCTGTGTGCCGGTCCGTGTCCTCTGCTGTACATGCCTGGCCGCTGGGTGTTCAGGACACGCTTTTGAACACAGAACCCAGCACAGGGACAGCAGCCTTGAAGGGGCCTTGTGCAGCCTGAAGGCCAGAAGGTGGCGTCCGTCAGCACATAAGCGGCCCGGAGCTTCCTGCCTCCTCTCCATCACCCTCCAGGGCTTGCTTATGGACCGGGCGTTTCCAAATCATCTTCGCTCGGAAAAACGAAACAAAGAAGCACCTAACATCTGTGGCTCTTTTTCTTTTTGTAATCCTCACCTGAGGATACGTTTTACTTCAATTCTCGAGAGAGAGGGAGGGAGAGAAACATCAAGCAGTTGGAAAGCAAGCGGGGATCGACCCCGAAACCAGGGTATGTGCCGGACCAGGAGTTGAACCCACAGCCCGTCGGTGCTCAGGACGACGCTCTCACCACCTGAGCCACACTGGCGAGGGCTGTGGCTCTTTAGATTTTCTAAGTAATTCACTTTGGGTTTCACCGAGGTGGCGGTTCCCGGTGCACGCACTTCGAGGTTGGTCAACCATGTTATCTTGGGAATGACCTCATGGCCCTCCACTTAGCCTGGATTCTGTTCTCAAATGACCCAGAATAAAACTTAATAGATATTCATTGTGCCAGAGTTTATTATGGTTCTAAAGGTGGGTGTATGTGAGTTCATTCTAGTATTGTCTTTATAATATTTTCCCTGTTTGTGTTTTAAAAAGTGCTTAAATTATGAGCCCTAAGACTGCCAATGAAATTAACGATATTTTCAATTGTTCTGCCTTTTTTCTCTGTTGCTTTTGCCCTTCCTGATCGAAGTCTAGGAGAGTAAGTCATTACCGTTTGTGAGATTGTGTTGTCTTCTGTGTCTGAAGCCCCATTTCTCCTTGTACAGTTCCCACTGTTAGCTTCCTCCCTGTTTCCACGGCAACAGCTGTCTGGCTGTGCGTCTTGACAGGCGCTGGGAGGTTCGGTGGAGGGCTGATGTTCAGTCTAGTTTGTGGGCGTTGGGCTTGTTCTGTTGACCCTTGTCACCCACGTCATTACGTAATACACTTGTCCCTGCAGTCGAATCCTCTTTTTTTATTGAAAGCATGGTTATAGGTGTATTTTACTGGTTAGTTAAAAAAACAAGAATTTTATAACATTTTTAGTACCTTCCTCAGAAGGTGCACTTTTTATCATGGGTGTTCCAGCAAAATGTGAAGGGACAGAAGGTGTAACCGGGGAGAGCACTTCGTCAGGTTGCGTGAGCTCCGTGTCGCAGCCTTTCCTGTGCTTGCCGTGGCTGCCGGTGTCCACGGGGCAGTCCCACAACAGGCTCCCCGCGGCGTGTGAGCAGAGCTGGGTTCTGAACTGGCAACAGAAGACCTGCACGCCAGGCCCAGCTCTGCCTTAAACTTGCTGTGTAGCTACCTGCCCGGCTTAAAACAAAGGCCAGGAGCTGACTGCTCTCCAAGTTCTGGATCCTTAGCCCCAGACCCAGGCTCAGTGGCAGGACAGAGGCAGGACTTTGCGGCGTGTCTCCGCGTGTGTATGACCTGCGGCTCGTCTCTCCTAGGACTCTCAGAGCCGACAGGGGGGCTACAGCATGCATCAGCTCCAGGGCAACAAGGAGTACGGCAGCGAGAAGAAGGGGTACCTGCTGAAGAAAAGTGACGGGTACGTACCTGCCGCCCGCGTGTCGCTGCCTTAGCCCTGGCAACCTGCGGGCGTCTTCCTGCCTCTCACACAGGAGGGCACACTTCGGTTTTCCATGCCCTCCCTTCAGGCCTTCAGCACGCTGGTGTTCCTAGGGCCAGTCCGAGATCGAACCTGCGTCTATAGGGGAGTGGTCGTTGCTTTATGGACCCTGAAGGGTGCCTGGGACTTGTGCTGTCCGCTGTTGGGAAGGCAGGAACCGAGCAGACCAGGAAGCAGGCCGACAGCTTGCTGACTTCCCTCCTCTGCTTTTAGTCATTGCAGTTTTCTCTACCTGGGGTGCCCGCCGGGCCACCCAGACCCAACCTTGGGCGTCAGCCTTGACTCCTGTCTTCCCTCCTACATCACAGCCAGTTCAGCAACAGCCCCTTGCACTTCTAACAGGAAATTATGCATTTCTTGCCCTCTCCACTGCCCCGCTCTAGGATAAGCCCCCTCCATCCGGCCTGGACTGGTTGAGTAGCCTCCGAACTGGTCTCTCTGTGTCTGTCACTCACGGTGCCCTTCTCCAGTTCACCTCCACACAGCACTCGGCGTAGCCTGGAAACCGTAAAGCACGCCGGTCACCCTCCTTGGCGTGCTCAGCGGCTTCCCTGTGCGCAGACGCTCTCGTCCTGCCTTTGTCCAGGCTCATGTCGCGTCATTCGCTCCCCTGGTCCTGCCACCCTGGCCCTCGTCCTGTTGCTCGTACTAATGCCGCTGCTTCATAATAAGTGCATGAGTAGCAAGGTGATTATTCGCTTGAAAGATTGTCATTCTTTTTAAAAAGCGTCTTGTTTTCTGATTGCTTGTGGATACGTGCTCCTTGATTTTCTCTTAGCTGCATCCAATTTTTGTTTTGTTTTCATTTATTTGTTAAAATCGCAACTATTTCTCCTATATATTTCTGGGATCACTGTCGGTGTGGCTCATCATTCTACTTTGCATTCAGCAAAAGTCTCTGGGAGTCCTGCTCTGTGCCAGGCATTGCGGGCACTGGGAATAACGCTGAACGGAAGAAGGTCCTCATTCTGTAGAGCGTACTGAGGGGGAAGGCAGACAGCAAAGAAGGAAATGCACGGGAGGAGATGTAACAAGTGCTGTCCAGAAAGATAACGCAAGCCAAGGAGTGTGGGGGGCGGGGTGCTTGCTGTCAGAATGTGGTCAGAGAGCACCAGGGAGGTGACGTTGGAGCAGAGGCCTGCATGCGTGAAGGAATGACCTAGACAGAGAGGTGGGGGGAGAAGTGAGTTCAATGCACCTCGGGTCAGATGTGTCAGATTCTTACTCCCTCTGCGAAGCACACTTTGAAACAAATGAGGCTTCTGACAGTTGCACGTTCAAGAAGTCAGTATTGTCTGTGTTTAGAGTTGAATGTAAGTTCATGTTGTGGCAGGTTTGGTACAGGACTAATTTAGGAAGGAAAAGGAACCACAAGGTGATGCTGTTTTAAACGCCAGGGAGAAGCTACCGTGGTCTTCACTCCAGTGTTTGTTTCCGTGGCAACAGAAGGCCTGCGCAGCCTTGCAGCCTGGAGGATGCTGTTCCCAGGTCCTTCTCTCTGCTGGAGGGAAATGGTCTCAACCCGCCGCCCATGTTGAATTGTTCCGACTGGCTTTTTCCATCCTTCATTTCCTTCCTGTCAGCATCATCCAATCATTTGAAAGAGTCAGAGTCACAGATGAGGTTAAACCTTCTCAGCGCCACCCCGGGCTGGACCTCCTTCCAGACAGGAGCCTTGTCGGCGCAGATGCTCCCCCCAGGCCCTCTTCCATACGTTTTGTGCGTGTTTATTTACCCATAAACATTTAGAGTGCTGTTTTATGTCTGAAATTTTTTTTAGACAATACTAGGTTATGCCTGAATTATCTTAAAACTACTTGCTTTTTTCAGTCAACAATATGCTTTAGAAATCTATACAGGTCAGTACATATATATATACACACACTTTCTTCTTTTATTTATTTGTTTTGTTTTTTATCCTCACCTGAGGACATTTTTACATCCATCTTCAGACTGAGAGGGAGGGAGAAAGGGAGGAAGAGAGAGAGAGAAACATTGATGTGATAGAGACACATCGAGTGGCTGCCACCCACACGACCCCAACCTGGGCCGGGGATGAACCGCAACCCAGGTAGGTGCCCTCAGCGGGAACCGAACCGGGACTCTCCGGTCCGTGGGCCGACGCTCTGACCGCTGAACCAAACGGGCCAGGGCTTATTTTTGTTACAGATATTTCTCCTTTTTCCCCACAGACACCCTCCTCCCAACCCCCCTCCCCCACCACTGTTGTCTGTATCCATTGGTTAGGCACACAGCTGTCGCCGTGTCTGTAGCTCCCCGTTCCCACTCTGAGAAACAGCGCCGTCACGAGCATGTCTGTGCAGGCCCATCCGGAATGACCCTCCACCCGGGACGATAAAAGGCAGAATGTCCCGGTTGTTTGGGGGTCGGGGTGGTTTTGTTTTGTAATGATGATTGTGCGCAGCAGGTGCGCTGCTTGTCCCCGAGCGAACCTGACACTGACCCAGCTCGTGTTTGACTTGCTCCCCAGGATCCGCAAAGTGTGGCAGAGGAGGAAGTGTGCCGTCAAGAACGGGATGCTGACCATCTCCCACGCCACAGTAAGTGTCTGCGCCACGTGGGCGCGAACACGCAAGCACGTGCTGTCACGGCACTGGAATGTTCCCGGGCGTGTTTGTGTGTGGAGTCGGGCCAGAGGCTTGTGTATAGTCCTTTGCCAAAGAAATCAGCCTTACCTCGTCCTGCGTGTCTGTGCCGCTTCGGTCTGTCTCTCCACCAGAACTTTGTGTCCGTTCACTCAAACCGGATCAGGTGTTCTCTTATTCGATAGTCTTTTCTTTTGGGAAATACTACTGGTTGTTGTGAAAACCTAGTTTTCTGAATTGTGAAGATGACAGATGATGTTCTTTGCATGAAAAGGTCATGTAGGAAGGGAAACAACACATGTAAAATAGGTCAGATCTTCTTTATTGTTGCTGTTTGTTTAAATTGTTCAGAACATCCATCATGTTAAAGGGTATATATAGATAAAACGTGAATAATAAAATTGCCTCAATTATGACTCCCCTTTTTTAGTAATAAAGGCAATTTAATAGAAAGTGAAAAATAGCTAATTAGTAACACTTATATTCTATTTATCTTCAGATTGTCAGTGTATATACATACTTGTAGTTGATGTCTATAATCTGTCTAGAATTTTTATTTAATCTTCACCCGAGGATGTTTTTCTGTTTATCTTCAGATAGAGTGGGAGGGAGGGGGAGAGAGAGGAAGAGAGAGACACGTCGACTGGTTGCCTCCCACACAACCCCAACCAGGGCCGGGGACAAACCGCAACCGAGGTACATGCTCTTGACCAGAATCAAACCCCAGACTCTTTGTTCCGTGGGCCAACGCTGTAACCGCTGAGCCAAACCGGCCAGGGCTGTCTAGAATTTTTATTTTTGTTGTGCGTCACCCATTTCCAGCTAAAAGTCTTGTCTTGACAAATCCATATACTTGTCAAAAGGTTCACTCTTGGTGGTACTCAGAGACATGCACAGTAAAACCAGTAATCACGATTTTGCCCTTTAAAACTACCAAGAAATGATTTTATATTCTTAAAAATTATAATGGAAGATGTGTCACGTGGGAATGGAAATGGCAGAGTCCCCGAGAGTCGTTACGAAGGTTTGTGCAGGTCACCCGGGAGGCCCCTTGTGGACAAGAGACTCGTGGGTGATTTGAGCGTCCGTGCCAGAGATGTCCTCCAGTTAGAGGGCCAGTTAGCTGCTAACAGGAGAGCAGAAATGAGTGGTGAGCATTTACTACGTTGGCAGTTTTTCTCTGGCCCACGGGCCGACGCTCTAACCGCTAAGCCAAACCGGCCAGGGCTATTGGCAGTTTTTCAGTATTCTCAGTTGCATTTAACTTTCCCTCTGTTGAGGAGGAAAGAAAGTACCATTTTATTTTTTTCTTTATTGATTTTAGAGAGAGAGAGGAGGAGAGAGAGATGGAAACATCGATGAGAGAGAACACTGGTTGGCCGCCCCCTGCATGCCCCCTACTGGGGATCAGGCCCACAACCTGGGCATGTGCCCTGACTGGGAATCAAACCAGCGACCTCTTGGGGTGTGGGTCGACGCTCAACCACTGAGCCACACCGCCCGGGACAGAAAGTACCACTTGAAAGCACTTCTTCGTGCCAAACACTTCATAAATTTTATTTCACTTAATCCTACGTAACCTCCATTTCACAGATGAAGAAGTGAAGGCACAGAGAAGCCCCGTGACTTGGCTAGTAGCTGGCAGAGTCAGGAACTCAAACTTGGGTCTGTCCACGTGCCTTTGCCATTCAGCCTCCTGTCCACAGGACCTCATCGTTCTAGTGGACTGGACGCCCCCCTGTATCAGATGAGGGACCTGGGGCTCAGAGAGGTTCACTCACAAGGTCACATAGCTTGCTGATGTCACAGCCAGGAACGGGGACAGGTCAGGACTCTGTGCTTAGACGCTCCCACACACAAGACATTGACTCCCCTCCCCTGCAGCCCCCGTTCCCCCCGAGCCTGGCATCCGAGGTCGTGCCATCCAGACAGTGAGCCATGGACCAGGAGGGCTGGGAGTCGGTGGGGGAGGTACACGCTGGTACCTGCAGGACCAGTTCCCTGATGGCCGAAGCAGGGTACGGCTCCGGAGAGGTGAGGCAGGTATAAGGACCCTACGTGCTGACGGCCCTGCACTTTGGTGATGTAAACCTAACCACCCTGCCCAGTACAAGACATCATGGATTCCTTAATACGTCACTGAACCTTTTAGTGCCTGGGTCGGCTCCTCTGTCAAATGGAGGTTGTTAGTGGCACTGACTTTTAGGGTGGTTGCGGGGCTGTAACATTTAAGTGTGTGTGAAACCCTCAGAACATCACCTGTGCGCAGGCCAGGCTGAGGCATTGTCAGGGTGGGGTCCCGCCCTCGTTTTCGTGAACTGCCACCCGTAAGTCACGGTCATAGAAACCTGTCACAGATGTTTGCCCTGGCATTTTACTGCCCATTTTGTTGATAAAATGTAATGCGAATACGTTTTTTAAAACATAGTCCATAGCTCAGATGTGTTATAATCAAACTAGTGCATTTCTTACATTTACTCTCGGAAGGTTTGGGGTCTGTGAGTTGTCGTTGGATAATAAGGCACCGATTAAGGTGGTTAGCACAGTGAAAGCAGGGTCCTCCCTCTGCTGCCCGAACTCTGCACACTGACACATAGTAGGTGCTCAGTAAATGTGTAGAAACGGCTAAATGGAGGAATACCCAGCACATTCCTCAGCCGCAGAGACATCAGCCCAGTTCTTATCAGGAGCTCCCATGCACTGCCCCCCCCTTTTACACTACAGCATTGTTTAGTATTCATTGTCGAAAATAAACTGACAGGGTCTTTACTGCAGTAAGAGTTTCAAGAGAACCATGTTTTCAAAGATACGTCTTTCTTACGTATACACACATCCTGGCAACTGGGACTCAATCCAGTGGTTACAGTGGGAGCTTCTAGGGAATTTATAGTCATCCACACTCTAGGGCGAATTACTGCAGTTAGATGACCAGCTGCGGAGCTTCCGTCGTGGCCGCAAGAGGGTCATTTTAGAACTTGGAACATTTCAGGAACGGGTGGGATTTCTCAGCAGGAATATTAACTGGTCTCCAGGAAAACGAGGGAACTGGCCGTTCAAGGGCGGGAGGAACGAGACGGGGAGGGAAGAAATGTCTTCACTCACTCTGCAGCTGCCCGCGGCTTGCCTCTCGGGAACACGGGGGAAGCTCTGGGAAGAAATGTGCTCAGATCGCAGCTTGGCTTCGGACTTTCTGTGAAACTGGTCGGCTATTTGCGCCTTCCTGCCCTTGGTTTCCTCAGCTGGAAAGTAGGTGCAGTAACAGTACCTAGCTCACAGAGTTACTGCAAGAGTTAAATAATAAGATTGTATACGAAGTACCAGCCGTTCAGGTGTGCAGCAGATGAACACTGCTCCCTGCCCAGATGAACCAGGGGGCGTGCTAAAGCCCCTTCTTGTACTAAGATTTGGGGGCCAGGTTCCCTGCGCAGTGTGGGTGTTCGCACGACCTACCGTCTTGCGGCAGGTCACTGTGGTGGTTGACTGCTTGCCGAATAGGTGTCCCCTGGGGCATCACCGGTGTCTAAGTAAGTTGCTGAGGAAATGAAACGGTCATAATCCACGCAGCTCCCTTGCTGCACGGAAGCGCAGCCTGGCTGGGCCCAGCTGTCCCCGGTAGTTAAGGATGTTCGCTTCTTGTTCGCGAAGCCGGGCAGCTCCGCAGGGGCGGGGAAACCACTCCATCTCTGGACACCAATCCCAATAGCCGAGTGTTGACCCACGTCTCGGGCGACTTCGCTGATTGGATAGCATTTCCTGGGGGTGGCAGGGAACTGTGTCAGGGGAAGGACATGTCATAACTGCTGTCCGCGCCCTGCTGGAACATTTCCAAAAGCCAGTGACTTGAGACTAGATTTGCTGTGTGTGTGTGTGTGTGTGTGTGTGTGTGTGTGTGTGAGAGAGAGAGAGAGAGAGAAATCAAGACATCTGTACATGTTGTAAGCCAGAAAAAAGTGATTCACCAAACAGTACCTACAAGTGTAACCAATTTGTGTGTGTGGTTTGTTTTTTATGTTTCCACACACACTTCTTGTTCAAGTCAAGGTAGGAACAGTGATTGTCTCTGGGTGTCAAAGTGGGATTAATATTCAGTTTCTTCTTTGTGCTCGGTCTCCTAGTGTTCCTTCAGTGAATATGCTTTATTTTAATGAAAAGTAAAACCTGGAAAAAGACAGACCTCAGAGTTCCAGGGAACAGAGCCCAAAAGTCGTCACTTCCGAGAGGTGTCGTCACTGCTTTGAAGGGTGTCCGCAGCAGGCTTCGGGGACCACGCGGCCCCCCTCCGTGCCCCGGGCGGGGCCTGGAGGCTCCTCCTGGGATGCTTCCTTAAAAGTCTCTTTTTAGCTGTATCTTGAGTCCCTGGCCCCCAGCACCAAGACCATGGCTTTAACTCAGGCCCCCATCATCCGCCTCATTCCCTGGGCCCCTCCACGAGCCGCCCTCTTTGTAGTCTGGGGGGTCACTCTGAGTAACTGCCTTCAGCAGATTGCCACATGCAGTGCCCGCCCTGGTCCCCATCGGCATCACCCTCCCCCCTTGCCTCCTCCCCCCAGTGCCCGCTGTCGGCTCGCACTGTCCGCAGAGCCTGCCGGGTCCTGGTGCTCCCGAGCTCAGGCCGGGCACGTCCTAGGTCTGTCCGCTCCGGTTCCCATGGCTGCTTGCTGCCGTGGGCCACATGTGTTTCATGTGTGTTTCACATGTGTTTAGAACGGGTAGAGGCTCAGCAGCTATCTTGTCGAATGAATGAGTAGGGATTTCCAGTAGCCTTCTAAAATTTGTCTCTTCATCAGTGATGAAAGGAAGCAATGGTGGTGATCCAGCGACCCGAGAAGATATTAAAATGGAAGTTAATCTCTGGTACCTTTGCTCTCTCTTTTCCTAACCCTGACCCTTCTCAGACGGCATGTTCCCATGTGCGGAGCCTCCTGCCGGTCCAGGGACAGGGCATGGCCTCTCCCCAGGCCTGCCTGTGCAGTGGACACAGGAGGGAGGGGCTTGGTCCACTCAGACCTCTGCCTTCTCTTCCTGGAGATTGTAGGAACATTCTTCATTCGCCTCTCTGCCTCGTCTCTTCGTCTGAATTAGTGAGAGAAACTAAAAGGACTTCCCTCACAGGTAGTATATCTAAAGCACCTGGCATGCATTCATTCGTTTGAGAAATTATTCGAGTGCCCGCGGTATGCTGGGCACGTTTTAGTGAACAAAACAGAGAAATGTGAGCTTTTAGTAGGAAGAGAGATAAGAAGCGAAGATGTAGTAATAAGATCCAGGAACGCCATGAAACCAGGCGGGGGTGGGGGAGGAGGGCAGGCCAGGAAACACCCTGAGAACCTTCTGACTGTGAGCCACCTGGAGGGAGAGAGCAGGGAGGTGCAGGAGGGCCTGCAGAGTGTGCCCCCAGGAGGGAAGGAGGCCAGTGCCCCACCTTGTCCAGCAGGGGGAGCAGCAGATAAAGAGACCACAGCTGAAGTCCCGGAGCCTGCAGGTCAAGGTGCAGAAAGGTCTTTATTCTTTTCATGGTAGGACTCATCAATAGGAAGGACTCAATAAATGCATGTTTTCTTATTTTTTTCCTTTCCTGTACTTAAACAATATGGAAGCCTTTTCTAAACAGTGCCATGGTGATGTAGCCCCGGGCAAGTCATTCAGCCTCACTAGGTTTTCGTCTGTTGAACCGCCAGCTAAACTTAGGCTTTCTTTAATCAATATACCTATAAATTAGTACTAAATGTCGAGAAAGCACTTTGAAGTTGTGGAAAGTTACACAGACCTGGAATTACTGTGATTACTGCAGTGATTCCTGGGCCTCGGTCCGGGGACTCGGGCGGGGCATCTCACCCCATTTTCTCTTACTCCCGCCTGTCAGCTGCTGAGCTGGTCAAAGATGGTGTGTTTTTGGCTCCTCAGAGTCACACTTGGGGAGATTGGTCATTTGTCAGATGTCTCGCTGGCTTTGGGGGGAGAAACAAACACTCCTCTTAGGCCAGATGCGTCTGTGCCCAGTGAAATCCGCGTCGACGTGGCGCAGCCCATCCAGGGGCTTGACGCACCGCCAGGGAATCCGGACGGAAACGGCCTGACCGTGGGACCCCCTCACCTCGGGAGTTCTCTGCCGCTGCTCTGAAGTCGCCCGTGCTTGGGGGTGAATGAGTGAATCCTGAACTGGAGTGTTTTTTCCTTTTTCAAACTATTCTGTCTGTTTTGTCTTGTATTTGGGTGTATCTGTTGGTAAGGTTTTCAGAAACACTGAGTCATGTAGATTTGGGGCAAAAAATAAGCCTTCTCGTTAACCCTCTGCCACATTCAAATGTGAATGGTGTCCAATAAGTTCTTAAGTTTTTCAAAGATTTCTCTACGTAGGTTAAGAAACTTGAAACCTCTTATTATGCATAATCAACTCAAGCTTGGGAAGTCCTTCCTTACGTCTGGCTCAGATCTTCTTCTGCAATTTGAGTGCCTTTCTTCTTGGTCTGTGCAGATGGAAAACAGCTGCCAGCCTCCCCCAGAACAGCCTCGTGTACTTGAAGATGGTCATTAAGTCTCTCCCAGCCAGCTTTCCTCTGGACTAAGCTGCCTGCAGCCATCTTCAGAGTTCCCGTCTTCCAGTCCTTTAATCCTCTCTCGATCTCCCCTGAGCTTTCCTACATCCCTCTTGAAATGTGGACGCCAAACTGGAACATAGGAGTCCATGGAGCGTCCGTTAACTGGGACTGCTACCTTTTCAGGCCGTCCGCTGTCGTCATTCATATGAGAAATCCAGTGATCTTATCACTATCCAAGTAGATGAACTGCTGGGCTGACAGGTCCCTTCACAGTGGGCCGGGCCTGGGTTTGTGGTGCAGCCGCCGGCGTGGAGTCAGGCCTCTGGCCACTGGGCTCCGGGTCTGTTCTAAGAGAAGCAGGCAGCCCCACACCTCCCGCCCCCCCAGTCTGGATTTTGTAGCCAGTGCTGTTTCCTCTTAGGCAGACCCTCTCACACAGGACTCTCTGGTTCCGTGTCTAGGTCAAGTGCACGTGTAATGAACTTGAAATCCCTCGGGTCTCTCACCCCGACCCCCAGACAGCTTGCTTTGGAGCACGTAGGTACAGGACAGGGGGGCTGGTTTTCTGTCTGATCTCATTGAATCCCCAGAGGAAGGAAGATGTCGAAAATTGTCCAGAGAGCACAGAAGGTGGACGGAAGTTAAGTGGACATTGCTTGTCCTTGAGGCTGAGCACTGCAGCGTGTCGTTGAAGTCGTTTGATCATACGCCATCTCCGTTGGTCAGGGCTTTCGACTGGTCACGTGAGGGCTCCCTCCCCCCTCCCCCTCTGTTTTCCTGTAACACCTGGGTTGCTTGGGCGGAAATGTTGCTGGCGTGGGGTTCGGGGAATAACGACCGGCAGTGGACTTGCGTTCACACCCAGCCCGGCCCAGGCACGCACACTTCACTCCTGGGTCAGCTCCTGTAGGAAGGAGGCAGACGTGCCGGCATCGACATGACCTTGGACACATGTGGGCAGGAGGTCAGGAACGAGTACGGACCAGAATGATTACGTGGCAAGACTCCATCTAGGCAAAGCCTAAGTTAATGTCCGCTTACTACAGGGTCTGTGTGAATGTGTGTGAGCAGGAGATTTGCTGATAATCTGTGATGCTAAGATTTTCATCTCTAGATTTTGGGGCTCATTAAGCTATGTCTCACAGGTGGTAGGTGTCTTTATACTTTTGAGAGAGGTTATGTAAATGCTACATTGCAATCAAAACCTGTGGATACCTGAGACATCGGGTTTGGGGTGATTGGTGACTGGGGTCATTATGAATGAAGGAAGGAATGAATGAATGAATGAACGAACGAACTACATTTCACAGCAGGATTCAGTATTGAAAATGTCAACTGTTCAGGCCCGGATGTGCGTGGGTTCCAGAAAGGTTGTTTCCATGGACCGCGCCCACACTTCATTGAAAGGTGGATTTTCCTGTTTCCATTCTGATCAGTCACCAGGACATTATTTATGTACAGTTAAAAGACACTTAGTGGACTACCACAGATGTTTTTCCTTTAACGAGTTTCAGAATGCTAAGTGGCTGGGTAAGACTATCACATTTGGCTCTGGCCAGGTAGCTCTGTTGGTTAGCGTGTAGTTCAGATGTGCCAGGGTTGCAGGTCCATGGGGCACGTGCAAGAATCAGCCAGTGAATCAATGAATGCATAAATAGGTGGGACAACAAATTGGAAAAGAAAAGACTTGATCAAAAGTCCTGCCCGACACCTCGTGACTGCCCCAGGGCAGAGCCCGGCAGGTGGGGGAAGTGCTGCAGGTAACCTCTCCGCTCCCTCTGTTCCAGTCGAACAGGCAGCCAGCCAAGTTGAACCTTCTCACCTGCCAGGTGAAACCGAATGCCGAGGACAAGAAATCGTTCGACCTGATCTCACGTGAGTCCTTTTTCTGTCCGGGTCAGTGACTGTGGATGCTGACAGCTACCCACTTCCGTTCTCTGGGCGTTGAGGCGGTGGCTTTTCCTGGCAGGCTCCTCGCTGTCCCCGCACACGCAGCTCCAGGGCGACCCCAGCCGCCGGCTCAGAATGAGAGCAGAGCCGTGTCGGATCTGACGGGCAGTGGAACAGAACCTAGACCTGTGCGGTAAACTGGACCAGTTCTCACCGTGACACGTAGCTCTGTCGCCTCGGAGAGATTTTCCTAAGTGCTTTCCCCTCTCTCCCCTGGATGTGCCGAACCACAGTCTGGGGTGTGAGGCCAGACGTAGGTATTTTGTAGGAAGTCCCCAGATGACTCTCAGGCGTGTGAAGCACCGATGGGGGGAGGGGAGGAGAAGAAGCACCGACATAGACCAGGAGGGGCGGGTGTGCCATTCTGTTTGAACAACTGATTTGCTTAGACTTCGTCCCTGCAAATTTGAGCTCTTAAAGGAAGCGTGTTCCCTTGCTTCCCAGCATCACTGCCTTCGAACTCCGTGAAGGGTGGCACCGTGCTCTGTCGCCCCTACTCCAGGGCGCGGGGCATGCTTTTCTCTTGCGATGTGGATGTGGAGTGACCTCCCACCGACCTGTACCCTGTATTCGCAATCTGCGCAGAGGTGTGGAGGGGACGTGGTTTTCTTTCAGGCTGGCTCCCTGTGCCTGCTCTGGTCCCGTGGCTGCACTTATGACCCTCCTGTAGCTGAGGGGACACCCCTTTGTCAAGGCTGTGCCGATACAGTGACTCAGGACAGCGTGAAATCCCGCATCACTGCCCTTCAGCGTCCCTCCTTCGCCACAGCCCCCGGGCGACAGCCTGAGCGCATGGTCTGTGTGTAGAGCACAGAGCACAGTCCCACCCCGACACCCCCCTGAGGCCGCTGTGTGAGTGACGCCCAAACTCGAACCTGGCCCCAAAGACCGGACCGGTCCGAGGCCCCTTGCAGGGAGTGTGAGGTGGACTCTGCAGCATCTGTTGACGTTCAGAGCCCCTGTGGTTTTTGTGACCAAGCAGTTTCTTGGGTTACTAATGAGAAGTTAGATTTAGCCCTGGCCGATTTGGCTCAGCTGTTGGAGCATTGGCCTGTGGACCAGAGAGTCCTGGGTTCAGTTCCTGCTAGGGACTCATACCAAAAAAAAAAAGTTAGATTTAGAATATGACTGCAGAAAGCCAAGAACCTCTGGGTTTCAGAACCCTTAGGTTGTGGAACTATATAACTATAGTCATCAGTTATTGACTATCTAATACGGGCCAAGTTCTTTACATACGTTATTGCCAGTCGTCACAAAAGCCCTATCAGTGTGCTAATTGACAGAAACCTGAGGCTCAGAGAGGTTCAGTGACTTATACAAGGTCACACAGCATTAAAGCAGAGATTCAGTGAGACTCTCGGGCTCTGCCACGCACAGCACGTTCTCGGACGTGCGCACCATCTCCCTGGGAGTCAGGCACCGGACAGCCTGGAGCAGCGCACAGTGCGTGGCTGCCTAGTCGGTTAAGGTTCCTTTGACCTCAGTGCACTGAAGCATTCGAGCAGATTCTGGATTTTAAGAAAGCGCTTCCCTCTTAAACACCTGCCCAAACTATCGAAGTTGGGCCACTTCCTCCTTCCCTGGAGGTGACCTTCGGGCAGAGGGCCGGGCCTCTTCCTTGAAGCCCGATTCATGCGGAGAGCAGCCCAGACTTCTGCAGGCAGACGGGCCCGGGCATCAGCTGCCCTGCGCGCTAGGGGTCGTTCGGGAGGGCCACTGTCTGTCACAGGAAATGGTGAAAGGCAGGTTGAGTGGAAGTGAACTGCCTTGGCTGCTGGCCCTGACCACTCCTCTTCCCACCTCTCTCCGAGGTGCCAAAGTGTACGTGGTATTTGCGGTTAGTTCAGTGCATTCCTGTGACGCTTCAGAACAGTAGCATTGACCACGTGACTCGTGTAACTGCTCGCACAGAATGGCATAAACACGAAATAATTCTAGACCCCTACTCTTACCGGGGGGTGTTTTTGCTTATTTTTAGGAACTTGCAGAATTTCATTAGACCTGAAGTTATTCTGCTTTCTAAGGTTTCCCTTTTTTTTGTATTTCAGATAATAGGACGTATCACTTTCAGGCAGAAGACGAACAGGATTATGTGGCGTAAGTGGTTTGGGCTAACGGCACGGTGCCCCTCCGTCCTGTACAACCTGCGTGGCGATTCCCGTCGTGACTGAGCCCACTGCTGTGGTTCCCACGGTGCCTTCTCCCCTCTGGGCCCTCACGTGCTGCTCTCTGAGGTGCCCGGTAACCTGTGCCCCCTTCAAGACTCAGCTCAAGCCCGCCATCCCGGGGGCTTGCCCCTGCCCTCAGCCCGGAGCCTCTTCTCGGCCCTCTGTGGTCCCCTGGTTCGGTGTGAGCCCCTGGACACGCACGGGGTCTTCCTGTCTTGTGATCACCTCTGCTGCCCTGGGCGCGCTCAGTGTTCGGTGGCCGGATGCGTGAGCCAGGCTGCCTGGGTTCTGCTGCTGACAGTCAGGGGAGGCGAGCGCCTGGCCCCACGGAGCTGTGCGGGCAGGAGCCTCCTGGGGGAGAGCGAGCTCTGTGAAAGGGGGCCTGGGGGGGCTGGAACGCCACCCTCACCTGGGCAGGTGTGCGGCCTCAGGCAGCCTCCTCCTTTCCTGTCATCCCTGGGCCAGCACTGTCTCCCCTGCTCCTTCTGGTGGCCGTCGGGACTGCCGCTGTGCAGCTGGGGGCGGGCCTCTGTGTCAGGGCTGGCGGTTACGCCGCTCTGCGAGCCTGGCCAGTGTGGCTGACCACGGGGTCGCGGGTTCGATCCCTGGCCCATCAATCAGTGTGTCTTTCTCAGATCTATGTTTCTCTTCCTGTCTGTCTCCCTCCCTCCCTTCCACTCTCTCTAAAAATCAATGGGAAAATATCTTCAGGTGAGGATTAAAAAATAAATAAACCTTTTCGTAGTTCAGATTTTTAAGTCCCTATCTCATTGGTGGCACACAATAAATATTATTTTCTGTGCTTAATGATTTCCGTAGAGCCACAGAATTCGGCCCACACCCCGTTTCCTTGCCTGCACCCCTTTTCTCATCTAGGCTTCGGTCCCTTGTGTATAAAGTGTTAGAGGCCCTCACGCAGGCTGGTTGGAGGATTACATTTGAGAAATTGAAAGTCCTTGGCACATAGTAGGTATTTGCTGTGCTAAATAGGCAGACTGCCACACTGCTTACGGACAGCCGGGCCGAGTCCTGCAGCCAGCGACAACTGCAGCAGCCTCAGCGCCTCTGGTGACGCAGCGACCGGTTCTGTGGAATCCAGTCTCTCGAACTGTTTTCAACAAATCAGCTTCTAGTTTGTAACTTGAGACTCAACGATAGGAAAAATACAATTTAATTTAAGGCATTAAATGACCACCACCCTCCCTCCTCCCTACACTGTTGGTTTTGAGGTGCAGTTGTCTGCATCACAGCAGAAAAGCCAAGCTGTGCAAACGCTTCGCAGGACAACTGAAGGTGAGTGCCACCTAGAGTCAAAGGTGGGACCTGCAGGTCACGTACACCACATAATTTGGTGTGTCCTGTAATTCCCATTGCCTTCTCTATTACCAATGCGAGACCCTTTGTAGATAGCCCTTTGTTTCATGTCCATGTGATCCCACAAGACACCAGAAAAACCAGAGACTTAGTCCTGGGCATCCGTATTCTCTGCTGAGAACAGATACCGCCGGTCTGCGTAGGTAAGTGCAGACTGCGGTTTGGAAATGTCTTTCATTTCCTTCTTTAAAAAAAATAAAGTGGGCTCTTTTTCTTTATGCATAAAAGTAACGCAAGCTCCCTGTAGATGGGCGATTACAGAGAGTCACGGAGGCAGGCCGTCCCTCTACCCATTTTCTACATGAGCACTAGGACAACCAATACTACTATTTTACACATTTCCTTCTAGCCTTTTTTCTTTTCCTCAAACAAAAACACATAATCCATACATACATTTAAATTTGAGGTTAGCCCTGGCTGGTTTGGCTCAGAAGTTGGAGCGTCAGCCTGTGGACCGAGGAGTCGCAGGTTCAATTCTGGTCAAGGGCACGTACCTCGGTTGCGGTTTGGTCCCTGGCCCTGGCCGGGGCGTGCAGGAAGCCACCAGTGGATGTCTTTCTCTCATGTCAGTGTTTCTTCTCTTTCTCTCTCTCTCTCCCTTCTTCCCTCCCCCCTCCCTCTCCCTTTCTCTCTTCCCTTTTCTCCCTCTCCCCCTCCCCTTTTCTCCCTCCCTTCTACTCTATCTGAAAATAAATGGAAAAATTTCCTTGGGTGAGAATTTAAAAAAACAAATTGGGGTTATATCATATAACAGTTTTTCCTGTTTGTTTCACAAAACATTATATGATGAGCGTTTCCCCAGTATCATTCAAAAATTAGTTAAAAACTTAAATTTTAATACCTGGATAACTATTCCACTTTGTGGTTATTTCATGCTTTATTAATTAGCCCCCTATTGTTGGGCATTTAGATTACTTTATGCAGAGGTTGGTGGCAGTGGTTTGTTTTTGTTTTTTTTTTCAATACATACTGTGATCGTACTGTGTACATAATTTAATAGCCTTCACTTTTTATTTTATATTAAAATACCAGCATGTTTCCATGTTAATATACCTTTTTTATAAACATAAATTTTCTTTTTTTTAAATTATTATTTATTTTAGAAAGAGCGAGAAACATTGATTTGTTGTTCCATTTATTCACGTACTCATTGGTTGATTCTTGTATGTGCCCAGACCGGGGATCGAACCTTCAACGTTGGAGTGTGGGGATGATACTCTAAGCAACGGAGCTACCCTGCCAGAGCTCATACGCATCTATTTTCATGGCTGCTAATGAAATGCTGTTTATTTCCATCCCCACTGCCCTCGCTGACTTGGCCTCCTGCCCTTTCTCACCAGTTCTTTCTTATCCTCGCCTTGGGTTGGTCCCTCGCTGAGTCCTCTTCCTTCTGACACCCACTGTGTTCTGTCCAGATGTTCGTGCACGTCCTCAGGGACAGTGACCTTGACCTCTCTCCTCTGCTCCTCTCCCCTCGCCCATCCCTGCGATGTTGCTTTCCATTCCTTCACCCTCTTTCCTTCAGGTCTAATTTCTCTCCTTTTCTTCTCACTTCATTGTGACAAGGGAGTGGTTATTTCTGGTGAAAACGGACGTGTTGCAGTGTCAGGAGTAAACAGTGTCTCCTTCCTCCTGTTTCGACAACAGATGGATATCGGTGTTGACCAACAGCAAAGAAGAGGCCCTGACCATGGCCTTCCGTGGGGAGCAGAGCACCGGGGAGAACAGCCTGGAAGACCTGACCAAAGCCATCATCGAGGACGTCCAGCGGCTCCCTGGCAACGACGTCTGCTGCGACTGTGGGTCGGCAGGTACTTATCCCCAAAGTGAGCTGGCTTGTTAAACGTCTTTTCTCTTCCTGTGGCAGATAAATGAGCTCGTAACTTAAGATCCTTACTTCCTTACGGACACACCCAGCACGTGTTCCCAGCGTGAATGGCCCATGCTGTTTGCTGTACCTGGAGAGCTCACACCTGCTCTCCTGCATGAGATGCCACCTGTCCTAGTGAGGTCCAGTTCAACGACACCGTGGACAGTATGGAGAGAGCACTGGGCATGGGTCCACCGGCCTGACGCTCCCAGCCTGAATGACCTCGCGCCGCATCCCTTTACGTTCTGACCGTCAGTTGTCTCGTTCTAGCAATGGGGAGATAAACCTCGTTCTTACGAAGGTGCAGTGCAATAGTATGTATGGTGGCTGGCGCAGTACTGTTCTTCCTGCCTGCTGGGAACTCCCAACCTCTCCGTCAGCTGTCACCCCCCAAACTTCCGTCTCCAGATAGCACCTGTGCTCCCTAGACATTGGCAGCAGCTCACAGCTGCTAAGTGCTTCGTAAGGAGCGTGCTAGTTGTCTTGTTTAGGCTGTCTTACTGCATCCTCACAAGTTCTGGAGGAACATCCTAATATTGTCTCCATTTTTCAGAGGAGAACACGGGGGGGCGGGGCTCAGAAGTTAGGTGACTGTCCTAAGGTCACACGTCTAACGGGTCAGAACATAATGCAAACGTATGGCCCTTAAGCATTGTAATCCAATAAGTTTTTCCTGTGCGACACGCCGTAGACACCTCAGACACACGTGTCCCGTTTCCTGCTCCTTCCATGACGTGTGATTGTGGCTCCCGTCTTATCACACTGTTTGTTCTCTAACAAGCTATCAGTGTGTATCACAGTCCCTTGGCTGAGCTGCAAGCATTTATTTCTTCCATTGAAGTCGTGATAACGGCAGAGGAGTGCTGAATACTCAGGATTAACCAGTGAGAGAGAAACTCGCCCCAGAGAGAGACCCCTGGAGGCCGGGGGGACAGGAATGTTTGTGCCTAGTGCTCTGGGGCCTGGGGTGGCGGAAGCGGCCCGGGCTCTGGAAGAAGCGTGCTGTTCAGCGTCTGCAGCTCTCACCAGACGTGCGGTGACCCGGACGGTGGCTGCACGGAGCCGTCGCTGGAGGTTAAAGATGGCATGGAGCCCTGTCCCTGGTGACCTGCACGGCACTGCCAGGGACGCTGCTGCTTGCTGAGGGCGCCTCTCAAGGCCTGCGGGTGCCTCGTGGGACCTTGCAGAGTCCTTCTCACATTTCCCAGGAATGAAGAACTAATTTTGTTTTCAATTCAGTATTGAAAGCAACATTTTAAAAATGCGTCTTATCACACTGTTTGTTCTCTAACAAGCTATCAGTGTGTATCACAGCCCCTTGGCCGAGCTGCAAGCATTGATTTCTTCCATTGAAATCGTCCCCCTATAATTCTTTAAAGTTTTACTATTGTTTTAGCTTCCTCTGTGGTTGGCACGCTAAAATTAGATACCTTGTTTGTTCATTGTCTTCAAAATCCTTTCCACAGAACCCACCTGGCTTTCCACCAACTTGGGCATTTTGACCTGTATAGAATGTTCCGGCATTCACCGGGAAATGGGCGTGCATATTTCTCGCATCCAGTCTTTGGAACTAGACAAACTAGGAACTTCTGAACTCCTGGTAAGTCGTGGCCTGCACTTTGGAAGAAAGCTTTGAGTTTATTGTTGTGACTATATTGATTGTTGTGACTTTGAGGTTTTTGTTTCTGCTTCTTACAAAGAATCCGGATCCCTGAATTTTGTTTCATTTGCATATTTAAATGTAAATTTTGTGGTACGTAATGCTGACTGTTTCCGTTTCCTGTGTGAAGAACTGGTGAATCATATATTTCCATAATTAGTTCCCCAAACTGGCTCTTTTCTTCTGGGGTGGGCTTTTTCGAAGCTGCTTTTTTCTTTCAGAATCAGTTTTATTCGATTCACTAAAAAGCAGTAAAGGGAGGTAGGCGTTGAACTCACGTGTTTGCTTTACCTGGGGGCTTTTGTTACTAAAAATAATGACTAAAGAGTTTTTCTCTATTTTTACTGTTCGTAAGTTTCTAAACATACAGGTGAACTGAGAGTGGCCTATTAGCTGCTGTCCCAAAACCAACCCCCCCTGACCCCGTGACTTCTTTAGGTCGTGAGGGGAACTGTGTGGCGGTGTGGGCTTACCTGTGTAATATGGAAGGGTGTGCACACGCAGATGTGCTCATCAGTCTCCCCTCCCCGCCCTGGCTCACCCAGACTTGGAGCCCTGCTCACGTCCCGGTGGAATTGTCCCCACAGCACACAAATAGAGGCGGAGAAGGCCCCCAGGCATCTCCCATGATGCCTTGTGGTTATAGCCCTGTCTTGCGTGATTTGAACTGGTGCAGACATGTGCATTCAAGCCTACCTCCCTTTACTGCTTTTTAGTGAATCGAATAAAACTGATTCTGAAGGAAAAAAGCAGCTTCGAAAAAGCCCACCCCAGAAGAAAAGAGCCAGTTTGGGGAACTAATTATGGAAATATATGATTCACCAGTTCTTCACACAGGAAACGGAAACAGTCAGCATTGTGTACCAGTGGGAGAGTCTTTCTGCCACAGCGAGCGTGGTGGAGTGAAACAGACTCTGCCTTAGACTGGTGGGCTGTGAGCACACCCGAGCGAGGCTGGAGCTCCACCGATCTGAAAGCCCAGCTCATCACTAACCTTGTCGGGGGGAAGTACCCCAAAGTCAGGGGAGCCAATCACCAGCCAAGCCGCTGTCGTCTGGGCATCATGGAGCCGTGACGGCCGGCCTTACACTGGAGGAGCCCTTTGATTTAGGACACGTTCAGAAAGCATACTGACCCTGGGCTCCCTCGTCACTTCAGGATTGTAGAGAGAAGGCTCAGAGTAATCCCTGAAACGTCCTTCTTTAGCATGGAGATAGCGTCACCCCTTGATCAGTGAAGCCCAGTTTGACAGCTAGAGATGGGGAAAGTCCCAGTCCGAAACACTTGTCGTGTGACACACTAAAGATCTGCCCCGAGACCTGATGGCATGACTATTTCTTAAACTTCACGTTGATCCCAAAATTACCCGAATGACCAAAGGACCTTCAAGATACAGATTTTTGGAAGGGTCTTGAACCCAGAAGCAGAATGCTTACTGGGGCCTCTTCATTATTTGCCTGTGCCCCAAATATAAAGGAATCCTAGTTTTTCATCTGTCCAATGAGAGTAAATTTGCTCAATCTAAAAGTAGGCAGCTGAAAGCTACTGTCGCTCATTAAGCATTTGCCTTGGGTTCATATGTGGGCGTGTGTGTGTGTGTGTGTGTGTGTGTCCACATCCAGATTGTGTGTGTGTGTCCACATCCAGATTGTGTGTGTGTGTCCACATCCGGATTGTGTGTGTGTGCGTCCACATCCGGATTGTGTGTGTGTGTGTGTCCACATTCTTTTGTGTTCTAGCGTGTATCGCACTGTTTTTGTAAAAATGATTAGTTTTCTTATCATGGTCCTGCAGTCCGTTAGCTCCTCCAGGAGGGAACGGGGTTCCCATCTCCGTGTTCCCAGTACTCAAGCCTGGCACATCGTAAGTGCTCAGCAGATAGTTGTTGACCCTGGAGAGCTGGTTTGTATTCTGAGTCAAGTGACTATTCAGAAATCTCAAGATCAAATAATAGGAAACGTTTAAACCAGTAGTAACAAATTTGCCACGCTGCGTCTGTTTACATTGCAGCTGGCCAAGAATGTCGGGAACAGTAGTTTTAACGATATCATGGAGGCAAATTTACCGAGCCCGTCACCAAAACCCACCCCGGCAAGTGATATGTAAGTACTTCTGACATACTGAATTCTTTACCATCTGTCATTATTTCAACCCTCCCCCAAAACTTCTTAGTGGTTATATCATCCCCCTCCCCCAGAGGAAACCCCATTATAAGGAAAAAGAGCGAAGAAGCGTCTTTGGACACGTGTTTCTGGAATGCACAGGTGAGTGTCAGCATCACCTTCCCCAGGGAGTCACAGTGACTCCGGAGGACAAATCTTCACAAGGACAGACTCCCTCCCAATCACGGCAGGTTGTGGTGGATGAGAGACCCACGGAGCTGTGGGCGATGCCCGTCACCTGGCCGAGGCCCAGACGCTCAGCAGCCCGGCGGCCAGGCTGTGGGGAAGCAGGCGTTCTAGAGTCCGCCCGTGTGGCTGGCGGAGTGCAGGCGGCACGCTGCCTGAGGACCAAACTCGCCATGGTCGTCACTGCTGGGGGTGTACTTGCCTTGGAATCATAGGTCCACTTCTGGAAGTTTATTCCTGCTTCATGAAAGAGCAAGTGTTCGTCTGTAGGCAGCTGATGAAATAGTTTATGGTCTAGCTACACAACTGCATATGAGAAGAAGGCCGCTGCTTATGTCCTGGTTTGGGGTGCTCTCCAGGGTTACGGCTAACGTAAGAAAGCAAGGCTCAGGGCTGTACAGAACATGCTGCCTTCGGCCCTGGCGATGTGGCTCAGTGGGTTGGGTAGCATCCCCTGCACCGAAAGGTTGCCAGGTCGTTCCATTTCTAGTGAGGGCACGTGCCTGGGGTTGCTGGCTCGATACCCAGTAGGGGGCGTGCGGGAGGCAACCAGTCGACGTGTCTGTCTCACGTCGATGTTTCTCTCTCTCCCTTACTCTCTCTCTCTTTCTACCTGAAGATAAATAGAAAAATATCCTCGGTGAGGATTAAAAAAAACAAACAAAAAAACAAAGTCAGGAATTGACTCTTGTGTATATTTGCTGATGAATCCCTCACTTTTGAACTCTCACTGTTTACTCTCTAGACTCAGACACCAAATAGATTTGGTCAGTGACAAACACATAAACATACATGTATTTGAAATTGTGTTTGCTTGAAGAAAACACAGGAAATACACAGTAAATTTAAGTGCTTAAACTGGGGTAGGTGTAAGTGTGAGACCCCTCAATAAAAACATTTTTTTAAAAATATGGTTTTAGCCCTGACCAGTTTAGAGCATTGGCCTGTGAACCAGAGAGTCCTGGGTTCGGTTCCCACTAAGGGCATGTACTTTGGTTGCAGTTTGTCCCTGACCCCGGTTGGGGTCATGTGGTTGGCAACCACTCGATGTGTCTCTCTCACATCCATGTTTCTCTCTCTTCCTCCTGCTCTGTCTGAGGATGGATGCAAAAATGTCCTCAGATGAGGAATGAAAAAAATATATATATATATATTATTTTTATTGATTTTAGAGAGGAAAGGAGAGAGAGTAACATCGATGATGATGGAAACATCCATCAGCTGCCTCCTACGCACCTCCTACCAAGATTCAAGCCCGCAGCCCAGGCCCGTGCCCGTCCAGGAATCGAACAAGCAGCCTCTGCAATGGGGTGACGCTCAGCGAGCTGAGCCACACTGGCCAGGGCTCCATAAATACTTTGCAAGTCAGTTTTATTTTTGAGTCATGTGAATCTTCAAAAATGTGTACATTGGCCCTGGCCGGTTTGGCTCAGCGGTTAGAGCGTCGGCCTGCGGTCCGGAGAGACCCGGGTTCAGTTCCCGCTAAGAGCACGTACTTCGGTTGCAGTTTGTCCCCGGCCCTGGTTGGTCATGCGGGTGGCAGCCACTCGTTGTGTCCCTTCACGTCGATGTTTCTCTCACTCTCTCTCTCTCTTCCTCTCTCTCCCTCCCACTCTATCTGTACAAAAAATGGAAAAATGTCCTCGGGTGAGGATAAAAAAAAAAAAAATGTTTACATTGAACTGGCACTTAAAATTGTTTAATACTGACCTAATCTAGGGGCATCTGGCTTCACAACGGTGTTCAAGTGTTGATCTGGCACAGAGACTTCGGTGTCTCTTGTACGCTAATGAGCACAAGTTATAGAAAATGAAGGCTTTAAGGACAGCCTGTCTGGGTCTCAGTTTCCTTACCTTTTAAAAGGCAGAGTTAAAAATTAAAAATTGAATTGCCATTTGACCCAGTGATCCCACTCCTAGGAATATACCCTAAGAAACCTGAAACACCAATCAGAAAGACTATATGTACCCCTATGTTCATAGCAGCACTATTTACAATAGCTAAGATTTGGAAACAACCCAAATGTTCATCAGAGGACGGATAAAAAAGCTGTAGTACATATACACAATGGAACATTATGCAGCTGTAAGAAAGATCTCTTATCCTTTGAGACAGCATGGAAGGACCTGGAAAGTATTATCCTAAGCGAAACAGGCCAAACAGAGAAAGACAAGTATTATACGATCTCACTTATTTGTGGAATATAATGAACATAACAGTCTGAGGAATGGGGTAGTCCCAGAGACGTGCAAGTGGGGTACAGACTGACAATCCCCAGAAGAGGGGTTGGTGGGGGAGAGATAAACCACAGAACTTATATACATGTGTGGATGAACAATGGACAACAAAGCTGGGGACAGGGCAGGGAGGGGGGAGGGAATCAGTGGGGGGAAAAAAGAGAAACATCTGTAACAAAAATAAATTAATTAATTAAAAACAAAAAAAAGAAAGAAAAATCTCTTATCCTTTGAGACGACATGAAAGGACCTGGAAACTATTATCCTAAACGAAACAAGCCAAGCAGAGAAAGACAAGTATCATATGATCTCACTTACTTGTGAAATATAATGAACATAACAGTCTGAGGAACAGGGTAGTCCCAGAGACATGGAAGTGGGGTACAGACTGACAATCGCCAGAAGGGAGGGGGGATAAACCACAGAACTTATATGCATGTGTGCATAACCAATGGACATGGACAGCAAAGCTGGGGACAGGGCAGGGAGGAAGGGGGAGGAGGGTGTCAATGGGGGAAAAAGGAGAAACATCTGTAACAAAAATAAGTAAAATAAATAAATAAAGTGCAGAGTTATGTCAGATGACTAAACTCTTTTCCGTGACGCTCTGAAAACTTTTCGTTGGTCTTTTAGCATTGCATTAACTTCCTCGGGTTTTCCTTTGCTTCATCTGCTGAAGTGGTCTGAGTTTGAAGAAGTAGCAAAGAGCAGGCTTCTCGTGCTGCTGCACAAGGTAGAAAAGCAGGCAGCTGGGGTCTGCGTGCCCGTTAACGTAACTGGACGTTGCCTGCACGTTCTCGTCAGTATGTCCCAGGCATTCATTCTGTCTCTGTTGGAATAACTCGGTCTGAAACCTGGTGTGTTTGAATGTTGAAAAGAAGTGTCTTAATTAAAATAACTCTTCTCCGAGAGAACTGTCGATCTGCAAAAATACAAACCTTTCTTGGCTCTGGGAAAATAAAGACCCTCCTTGTTTTGCTGTATTTAGGACGGCACGAAAAGAATATATTACGGCAAAGTATGTGGATCACAGGTTTTCAAGGAAGACCTGTTCCTCTTCATCAGCTAAACTGAACGAATTGCTCGAGGCCATCAGGTCAAAGGACTTACTTGCACTAATTCAAGTCTATGCGGAGGGCGTAGAGCTCATGGAGCCGCTGCTGGAGCCGGGACAGGTGAGGCTCCCTGAAACCACAGGACCCGTTTCCGGGATGACTCGGGTTATTATAACGGGTCTGGTCCTTTGAGGGGCCCTGGCTAACTCAGGACAGTTTGAGAGTGAACGGGGGTGCTATCAGTAATTACTTTGGAGTAACTGATGTAAAGGAAACTGCTGGAGACAGAGCAGGACATGTGATCTCCCTGTTTATACTTGTCCTGCCCTTTCTAGGAGCTCGGGGAGACAGCCCTTCATCTTGCAGTCCGAACTGCAGATCAGACGTCTCTCCATTTGGTCGACTTCCTTGTTCAAAACTGGTACGGTTCTTATTTGCTCTGAATGCGCCTCGTGAGTTAACAGACCAGTCCAGTCAGTGGCCTAGGTCCGGGATCAGCAAGCGTTTTCTGTAAAGAGCCAGATACTGTTTTAGGCTGTGCAGGCCGTGAGGTCTCTGTCGCAGCTGGTCAACTCTGCCATTGGGGTATGAAAGCAGCCCGCAGCGGTATGCAGATGAGTGGGCGTGGCCACGTTCCAATAAAACTTTATTTATAAAAACAAATGAAGGGCCTGATAGAGCTATGGTTCCCCAACTCCTGGCCTAGGTAAATGTAAAATCCTGCCTCTAGGTCTAAACGTGCTGCACAGTGGTGGTTAAAAAGAGAAGGTTTAACAGGGCAGGTCCACACCAAGTTCACAGTCAGGCAGTAGTGTATGTGGCTGACTCCGGAGCTAATTCAAGCTTGGGACGTACTTACAGGAGCATGATACTCAACACAGGCGGTTTGGACTTGCTGGATTCTCTGGGGTAGCTCTGTAAGCCACAGCGTATGACGAGGAACTGGAGCGCATCTAAAGGAGAGTGGGCGAGACCTTAGGGCGCTCGAACCCACATCTGACGCAAGCCAAGTGGCAGGAATGCCCGAGCCCCTTGGGGGCAGCATTCAGAGCACTGGCTCCAGACACGCGTTGCCTGTGCTTACAGCCCTGCTCCATCGTCCGTGTCTTGATCATCTTGAACGCGAGCCCTTCGTTCTCTCTCTCTGAGTGTTTTCATCTGTAAAATACAAGTTTTACAACCATCAGGTGGTTGTGAGATGAAATGAGCTAAGTCATGGAAAGTTAAGAGACAGTGTCTGGCTCGTAGTCTGCACTCAATAAATGCCGACTGTTATTGTCAGAAGTTGCTTATACATTTGGGTGTCATGTTAGAAACATCAAAACTTCGTAACAAACAAGTCTGAAATTGACTCAGCTGCTAGCATAGAAGTAAGTGGTCGCTCTGCAGTGTTGAGCTGGAGAGTCATTTTTCCTACCGATGTGATTTCCAGTGGGAACCTGGACAAGCAGACGGCCCTGGGGAACACGGCGCTGCACTACTGCAGCATGTACGGGAAGCCTGAGAGTCTGAAGCTGCTGCTGCGGAGCAAGCCCACCGTGGACGTCGGTGAGTGCGGCCGGGGCGTGTCTGCCGCAGCTGAGATTTGCACGTTGCACTGGCCTCTGATCACGGGTTCTTGCCTTTTTGAGGTCTGTCCTGGATAATCATGCCCGTGTGTTTTCCCCCACGATTTTAGTGAACCAGGCTGGAGAGACTGCCCTGGACATAGCCAAGAGACTGAGAGCCACCCAGTGCGAAGATTTGGTAAGCAAACGTGGAGGTGGGGTGTCTAGTAGAGAGCAACGACTTGAAATGTATTCTCAGAAACTGCTCAAAGCAGCAGATGTTTTTTTTTTTTTTTTTTTACATTGGTTAAAAAAATTCCAGCCAGCTCTGTGGCTGCGTTTGAAAAAATGATGGATGTGCCTTCCCCTCCGTCTGAGTGCAGCTGTGACGAGGAGCGGGGAGGCAGCTGACAGGTGCTTCTACCAGACGGGCTTGTGGAGCGAGGCCGCTGGGCTCTCACAGCTGGACAGTAAAGATGACTTCCTTGGGCAGCCAGTTCCAAAACCTGGGCACGCGAAGTTCAGGCTGCAGCGGTTTTCCAGATGTTAGACACGCTCCTCTCCCCTCTCCATGCTCCGTGCTCTCTACCTGTTTGGATCTCACTGGTCCGTGCTCACAGCTCCCGGCCTTAGCAGAACACGATTCTCTAGACCATGGGAACGGTGCAGATGGGAAAGATAAATTGCATTCCCCTGAGTTTCTGCAAAGTGCCGAGTTCCAGGCCCGCAGCGGTGCAGTTCCCTTCCTGCAGGGCGCCTTTGAAGGCGTGCTGGTCATCCCGCCCTGTCTGGGACAGAAGCGTGGGCGCGGGTTGACCCGGAACGGTCTGAACTCAAAGGCCACCCCCCTCACATTTCACTAACCCTGATTTTTGCCCTCCAGCCAAGGATTTGTAGTTTCGAGACCCTTTTTAATAATATTTAGGAAGCTTTACAGTTGGGGAGAAGTTGGGTTACCAAGCGGACAGAGTCTCGAGCCTGTCTGCTGGCGGCCCAGCCTGCACGGCCGAGCTCAGCTTGCAACGCAGCCGCCGGCGCTTGGCTTGGAACCGGGAACCGGCTGGGGTCTGCTCAGTGTTTCTGTCAGGTAGGAGTGTTCGGCGTCTGAGTTACAACGGACGCCCGCTGTCGCTTTCAGCTTTCCCAGGCTAAGTCGGGGAAGTTCAACCCACACGTCCACGTAGAATACGAATGGAACCTTCGGCAGGAGGAGATGGACGAGAGCGATGATGATCTGGACGACAAAGTGAGTGTGAATGACGCCTCTGAATTTCTGAGTGCGTCTCCTGGCTTTTCTGCGCTTTGTAGACAAGACTCATTCTCTGTGAGGTTGTTTCGGCCTTTTGGCCTGATGTACCAGGGCCCTTTTCTTGGCTCAGACTTTGCTCCTGGTTGGGTATCACGTAACAGCTGTATCAGTCAGGGATCTCCGGAGAAACAGAACCAATAGGCTGTGTATCCATAGAGAAAAAGCATGGAATTTATTTTAAGGGATTAGCACACACACTCATGAGGGCTGACAACTCCAGAATTTATGGGGCGGGCTGGAATCCCAGCAGGCTGGAGTCCAAAGTCCTTCTCAGTGGACCTCCGTCTTGTCTCTGAAGCCCTTCAACTGGTTGGCTGAGGCACCCACATGCTGGAGGGTCATCCCCTTTACCCCAAACCTAAATGTCAATCACACTGAAAAATACCATCACAGCAACTAGGCTGCTATTTGGCCCAATACCTGGGTACCGCGACTTAGCCAAGTTGATACATAAAATTTGCCATCAAAACAGCTGAGGAATAAAGAATAAGTTGTCATTTATCCAGCGCCTGCATATGGACGAGGCAGCAATAGGCACGTCGCCCGTGTCCCATCAGGTTGCCCTCACCAAACACCCACTGTGCTGTGCCCCCACATGCATGCCCCCATGCTACAGAAGAGAAAACTAGCACACACGACATTTTGCAACAAAGCGTCAGAGCTGGTCTCTGGTTAAACCTCCTGTCTGACTCCCTAGATAGTTCTCAGTAACTTCTGGAGTTTCGCTCATGTCGCTTTCATTGGATGGGTGTTGAGTGAGTCCTCTCTGCCAGGCGGGAGTAAAGAATGGTCAGAGATGGTCATACGAAGATATCCTGGAGGCGTTCGCCACCTGAAGAAGAGATAAGCTATCATACAGGGGACAACCCTATAAGAGGAGTTGTGGGAAGATGTGCTCAGAGGACAGAGCAGGTGCCTCAGCCTCGGCAAATGGTGGAGACCTCAGCAAGGAAGTGGAGTTGGAGATGGGCCTCCAAGGGTAGGGAGGAGCTTGCCAGGCAAGGGAGTGAAGAGGAATGCGTCCTTCCAGGAAGGGAGGACAGCATGTGCAAAGGCCCAGGGGTCATGCTGGAGCCTGGACGTCTGGGGAAAGGTCAGAAGCACAGTGTGTGAGGCAACCTTCATGTTGGCGGGTGGAGAGAGGCAGCAGGCTGTCCTGCAGGGCCAGGCAGCCCTGATCAGGAAGGGCATTCTGGGCCACGTTGGACCTTTCGGCTTTGGATAAAGCCAATTAATTTTCATATTAATCACCAGTAGCAGTGAGGAGCCAACAGATTTCTTGTCGGAAGAGCGAGGCTTCCTGCCGCTCTGGTGGTAATGTGGAGAACGGGCTGGAGTCGGAGGGCAGGAACCGGGGCTGTTCAGGCGGCCAGTGCTTCATGGGGGCCAGTGGGTCCTGCACCGCGAGCGGGTCCGAGGGATCCTTCTGAGCTCTCCATGCACGCCCTGGTGGGGGCTCTGCCTGACATGAGGCTCCCCACTTGGAAAGTTGCGTGGATGCTACAGCTGCCACCAGAGGGGCAAACACGGGGCCCCTCGTGGCAGTGGAAAAGGGTTTGAGTCCCAGAGGTCGGAGATGCACCTGCGGTCAAGCCAACGGCACTAGTGTCCATCGAAGCCACGGGTGTGGGTGACACCGCTTCCTCAGAGGGGCAGGATGAGGGCAGAGGCGAGGGTCGAGGACGTCAGCTGGAGGTTGAACAGAAAGGGACGTGGAGTGTAGTCAGTATAGGTGGGCGGGCGTCTGTTCAGATGTTAGTGAAAGTGCCCTGCACCCGGGGGGTCAGTGATTAAAAGTTAAATCTGACTGGACCTTATGCTTCTGATCACTGACCAGTGCCTCCTCATAGTGACCCTGGTAATGGGGACATGGGAACCCCAAGTGTAACGTCTGCGTCCTTCCCTGGTACTGGGTCGTCGTGGGGACCTCAGGGAGCCCAGGTTCCCGCCGCAGCCGCCCTGCCGTGGGGTCTTGGTCATTATCTCGCCCCCTGAACCTCTGCTCTCCCCTGCCAGCCGAGCCCTGTCAAGAAGGAGCGCTCACCGCGACCGCAGAGCTTCTGCCACTCCTCCAGCATCTCCCCCCAGGACAAGCTGTCGCTGCCGGGGCACGGCACTGCGCGGGACAAGCAGCGGCTGTCCTACAGCGCCTTCACCAGCCAGACCTTCGCCTCCGCCAGCACAGACTCGCCCACGTCACCCACCTCGGAGGCGCCTCCACTGCCTCCTAGGAACGCCGGCAAAGGTACGGGCTGGAGAAGGGGCTCGTGACTGCGTCCTGAAAGCCGGGAGCCCCCGCCCGGGGTAGAAGGGGCAGGTGCACTGAGTAGCAGAGGGTGGAACGGGATGCCAGCACCAGCAGCAAGAGAGACGGCGTTGTGGGCACCCCGCACGCATTCTCTCTGCGAGCCTCACGGCATCCTGTCTGGGATGTGCTTTGTGCCCATTTCACAGATTCGGAAACTGAGGCTTAAGGAGGTAGAGTGGCTTGTCCAGGGTCATGTAGCTGGTGAGTGGTAGAGTTGAGATTCAGTCCAAGGTCCAGCTGGGGTCCAAAACCTGGGCTCTTTCCTCTTTAATACAGGATGGGTTTTCAGTTCTTTGAAAAGTGCCTTTTCTCTACACTAACACGCCTCTTTTCTGACAATGTTAATAGCAGTCGTGGTATTTAGAGTTATGGGGCCTCGGGGGCTCTAAGCCCAGCCCTTCTCCTGTCCCGGTCACGATGAGGTGGGTGCTACAGTTGCTGCCTTGTGCGAACAAGGGGACAGCGGTTCAGAGATGCTGAGTCAGTGACCTCAAGCCCTCAGCTGTTGCGGATGCTAACCAGGGCCTGTGCGACCTGAGCCCACCCTCCTGCGGCACCTACGGCAGCATCTTTCTCAGAGGAGGTGACAGGCAGCATGTCCGGTGCCTCCACGGGGCTAGTGCTGGGGGCTGGTGGTCCCCCGCCCTGCTCTCTGTCAGCAAAGTGCTCCTCGTGTCCAGTCCTCAGAGACGGCCCTGCTCGGGAAGTCAGTGTGTTCCCAGGACGGGGACAGATCGGGGCTCAGCAGTGCCAGCATCAAAGGGTCCCCCCAGCCAGGGGGAAGCTGAGAGGTCCCCCGAGCTGCCACTTCGGGGTGGTTCTCAGCCAGTGCATCCCAGCGCAGGGCTGCCCTCTGTGCCCATTGTGCCCACTCAGGTTCCAGCGCCTCCCCGACACAATGCCGGGCCTATGGGAGTCACACTGGGGCTATTTTCTGGGAAATGTGAGCTTTATTCAAAACAGAGTTTTTTCAGAGCTTATTCTCCATTGAGATAGCGTTATGAATGGGAGCTGTGTTCTTAGACCCCAAATGGCCCCGTGGATCATAAAATAACGGAGGAAAGTTACATTAAGGCTTTGGCTTGAACAGTTCTCATCTAAGGTAGCCAGGGACCGTGACAGTGGGCAGCACGCGGAGCAGGAGTTGACCCCTCCAGGGCGTTCTTACTGTCCACAGGACAGCACGTCTCTGGAAAGGGCGTGCAGGTCCTTTGTAAGCCGCCCGCGCTGGGTCAGGTTTTAGCTGTGCCCTGGGGGAGCGCTGGGTGCTGCTCACCGGGACAGTGATACTCCCGCCGGGGCAGCCAGGCGAGAGCGCAGCTTCCCCTTCCAGCCTGAAAGAGGACCGGCCGTGGGAAACCTCCGGGCCAGATAGAATGGTGGAAGAAACTATGTGAAGGGGTTCATCTCCCCTAATTCCGGCCGCCGGTGTCACAGTGGTGACCTAGCCCGACTGGCAGGGCCTCTCCCTGCTCAGAGAGCCCAGGTCCCTGAGAATCTGGAAGGTCTGTGGGGGACAGGGACACCCAGTCCTGGGCCGAGAGGATCCCTCAGCCCCCCCCTGTAATTTTATCTCGAGGGGACACAGAAACCCACAAAATAAACTCTCTGACTCAATGCCAAGCTTCTCTCTCCTGCCTGGAATGGATTCCAACTAGCTCTTGACCAAAGGCCCAGGAGACAAAGACCAAATTTATTTAATGAACCAGCTGCCGAGACAAGTCCTCAGGACTTGGCCATCGTGACTGTGGTCGGCTAAGGATGGCTGCCCCCCGCCATGTACTTAATTGGAAAGAAGTCTCCCTGCTAAAATCCGGGTGTCCTAGACCGCGTATAGAGGCCACCGGTCAGGGGTTGGCCTGTGCTGGTGAGACACAGGGGCACAGCCTTCTGGTGACGTTTCTAAGGGACTTGAAATAGGAGGCATGTCCTGCCGTAGCTGGGCTCACGTGCCCGTGACTTTGGACAGCGGTAACGTTTCGAATGGGGCACTTAGAAGACGTTGTTGGAGATCAGCTGATGCTCTGTGCAGAGAGAACTCCCCTCTGTTTTGTAGCCCAGAACATTTCTTCCATTTCATTCTGTGGAACTGATGGACGCATTTGCACGAGAAGGAGGGTGTCATGTCTCCGCCACTGGGCTTGTCTGTCTCCGCGGGGGCACAGCGGAGGCCTCTGCATGGAGGTCACTGTGACGGCTCTGCGGGTAGGGGTCTGAGGGGCGGGGCTGCTGGGGAGGGGAACAGACACTCCTGTTCAAGTCCCCGCTAATCAGAGAAGGACTGGGGGAGCAGCAGAAGCACTCTGAATCCCGCTCAGTAGTCTTTTCGGGAAACTCCAGCTGCCTCATCGAAACGCAAGGAAGTTAGACTTGAACTGCCTTCGAGCCTGTGCTTGGGCGGAGCTGTGAGCAGCGGGGCTCAGCAGCTCGGAGCCAGAGCCCAGCATCCAGGAGCCTCCGAGGGCAACAGCGGCTGCCGCGCCCCCACGCAGGGAGGCCCCTCCGAGCGTGCAGAGGCCTCGCTGCTGCAGCAGCCCCCTGCCCCGTCCACGCTCCTACGGCTCGAAGTCCTCGGGCCTGCCCGCCTTGGCTTGGTTCTCCTCTGTGAACTAAAATCAGGTCACGGAGCAGGATGTGTGAGAAGGATGCTGGAAGACCAGCCCGACCCCCAGCCCGTCGTCCAGTGAGGGGAACTGAGCCCTGGAAGGCTAAGGAACCACAGGTCACTCAGTGGCTGAAAGAGGACAGAAAATTAAAATGGGCCTAGGCCGTGTCAAGCCAGACCTTCTAGTTTCTTCTTTTGCATGTTGGGGAAGATGGTCCATCTCTGTCTTGCTCTCCTGGTGGAGTTGTCATCGGAAGCCAGGGAAACAGGCCGTGGAGAAAGATTTCGTGAAACGCAGATCCCTGAGCTACTGCGAGAGCTCCTGTTAGGGTGGTGGGCAGCAGGAGACACGTCCCACGGACAGGCCCTTGAAAACGGACAGTACTTGTTCAGAGTTTAACTGTTTCTAAATCGTTCTACGCTCTGGAACTGCCGGTTCCTCCCATTGAACGAGTCCATACCTTTCCGCAGAGATGGGGCGAACTGCACCTGCGCTGAGACAGGTGTGGAGGTGCGTGAGGAGGGCAGGAAGCACTCCGCCTGCGGTGGTGCCCCGTGGGGTCCAGGGGAGCCGCCCACGCCCACTGAGTCAGCCGGTGCTCTGAGCCCTGAACCAGCCTGCCGTCGGCTCCGAGGATGGCTGTCAGTCAGCGAGTGATACACCCAACCCCGAGAAGCTGATTGAACCTACTGGAAAGAGTGAACTTTCCAAGCTTTTAGAAACATGAGTAGCGGCTACACCATCCATGTGCTGACCTGCAGTTTCCAGGGTTCTTGATCTCATGGGAGACAGCCCTTTGAGTGGCTTGATTTTAAAGTTTCCCCCGGCCTGTTGCCTTTTATTCTTGTTAGATTTTTTTTTTTTTTGGCTTATTTTTCTGTCCCGCCCAGTCCTTTTTATCCCATGGCAGTACCTGGCACCTTGCACCGGCCACCTTGCTGGCCAAGACTGGGCCGGGACCTCTGCCCTCCGCAGTGACCCCGCAGAGCGTGCCCGAGGAGCGGAGGGAACCCTGGCGTGCCTCTGGAATTCAGGAACGTGTGGTGATTGTTGGGGAACAGACCGAGTCCCACATCGGTACTTTCCCCTTCGTCATCAGTCCGGGGGAGACTGCTCCGTGTGCAGCGCTGTAGCGCTCGGGCCGTCACTCTGCCGGGCGGGCGTCTGGTCAGGTCTGTGCTGACTTCCGAGGTGTCCGGCACCCCCCCCCCACTGTGCCTCTGTTCCCCTCTTGGCTTCTTCCTTCCACACACACGTCCTCTCTACATGAACATATTGTATCTGTCTGCTTTTTAAAGTACCGTAAACTTTCCACTCTTCTAAGCCCTGTACTGTGAAAACCATGGAAAGTGGGAAGGTTGTCATTTGCATCGTCCACAGTTGTGTAGATATAACCTATGTCATTAACACAGAGGTGGCATGTTAGAAAATTGAAGTTATACGGAAAGGTTTTTCCAAAGATTGTCAGGATAAGTTTTGTTTTTGTTTTTAGCTGATTTTAGAGAGGAAGGGAGAAGGAGAGAGAGAGAAACATTGACGGGAGAGAACATCGATTGGCTGCCTCCTGCACGCCCCCACTGGGGATCTGACCCACAACCTGGGCATGTGCCCTGACCGGGAATCGAACCGGCAACCTCTTGGTGCATGCTTCGGCGCTCAGCCACTGAGCCACACTGGCTGGGCTGTAAAGATATGTTTTAAGCCATCTTCTGGGTCGTTTTCCTTTGAGAGACATGTACTTTTATGTGGTCTCCCCACATGGAAGACTCGACCCGGCTTTCTGTTTTACTAACCACCAGAGGTATGAGGACAGTGGAAAAGAATCCTCCTGACTTACCCATGGACATGTCTCACGCTGAGAACGTGCCAGGTACGGAGAGAAAGCCGATACGGATCTTACCCTAGGGGAACGGACGGCAGGAAAGACAGGAGCAGGTAGCTCTGTGCAGGTAGAGAATTCAGTGACGTTAGTCCTGGGGAAGTTCAGAGATCAAAGCAGTGTCTCCGGCAAAGGGGTGGCTCGGAGGACGCTTCCCTGAGGTGGCATTTGAGCTGAACTTTGCCGAAGAGGAGGAGCAGGTGGAGGGAGCTCGGTTGTGTCTGATGCTCCGGTCAAGGCAGAGACTCCGGAGACAGGCTGTCGAGGCCGAGAGCCCGGCGAACTCCCTGGCCGTTACTGGCCAGGTCCTGCACTCGGGGCCTCGGGCTTTACTCTGACAGTCGGTGGTCCCGAGAGCGGAGGGACCTAAGGTGAGTTCCAGGTAACGTGTGCGAAACCCCTGTGGTAGGCCAGGCCCACCGCACTCGGGAAGTGATAGCTCGAGAGAATCTCGGAAATTTGAAAAGCATGTGGATTGCAATTTTAGGAATGGACTTTGTAAAAATATCTATGTGTAGGTATAGGTGGATGATTTTTCAGGATGTTTCCCAAACTTAAGTGCATTGATTTCCTTGTTGTTAAAGGTGGAGCCCTGCCTGGGGAGGTTTTGCTCAAACTGCCTTTGTGGTCTAAGGATGTACTGTTTTCCCATAAGGGGACCGTTTGTGGGCAGAGGAAATACCATTCGGGCTGCAGGCTTTTCAGAGTCTAAGCGGGAGCGCAGAGCGGGGGTGTCGGCCTGCAGCTGCCCCGTGGGCTGCCACGTGAGCACGGGGCTTGTGGGAAGCTCAGGTACCTGAACCTCCTGAGCTGGGCCAGTGCCAGGCCACTTCCAAGGGCCGCGCCCAGTAGAGGGCTCGCCGAGCTGTGCACGTGGCAGCACAGTGCAGGGCGGCTCCGTGGCGACCACTGGAGGTGAAGGCGCCGCAGAAGGTCCCCACGGAGTGACAGGCCGAGAGCCCATGGGGAGAGCTGAGGTCACTCTGTCTCCGCTGGGAAGGCCTTCGACCGATTTCCAACCTCAGAGTTACTTACAGCAGCTTTGGAAGACCAGACCCGTACTTTGTTTTTTAATCCTCACCTGAAGGTACTTTGTTTTCCTTTATCTTTTTTTTTGCCTCACTCGAGGATATTTTTCTACTTGTTATCAAATAGAGTGGGAGGGAGGGAGGGAGAGAGAGACACAGAGAAAATCAATGTGATAGGGCCACGTACACTGGCTGCCAACCACACGACCCCACCAGGGCCAGGGACAAACCGCAACCGAGGTACGTGCCCTTGACCGGAATCGAACCCACGACTCATTGGTCCACGGGCCGATGCTCTAATCACTGAGCCAGACCAGCCAGGGCAGCACAATTCACCTGAGGATATTTTTCCCATTTATCTTTAGATAAGAGTGGGAGGAAGAAAGACATCGATGTGAGAGGGGCACATTGACTGGTTGCCTCCCACACATGACCCTGACCAGGGCCAGGGACAAACTGCAACCCAGGTACGTGCCCTTGACCGGAATCGAACTCCAACTCTTCGGTCCGAGGGCTGTCGCTCTAACCACAGAGCCAAACCGGCTGGGGCCAGACCCATCCTCTTAAGAAGGTCATTTGACCTAACAGCTAATATCAGAGGCAAAACGATTTGGGGCATTTTTTCCTGATCTCCACCGGCCCTGGTGGAGTTAAGGGGAGAAAATCGGCTGTCCAAGTCCTCACCACCCCCACCCATTAACCTTGCCTCCTTTTAGAGTTTGTTTAATTCTATTCATTCTTTTAAATTTTATTTTGTTGCAGCTTCCTTTATCCTGCCAGAATGGCGTCTTTTCTGACTGAGCCAATACTCAGATTTATTTTGCACAAAACGTCCCCTTTGGTGCTTAGAGACTCGTTACTCATTTTGGAAGTTTGTTGAGCGCATTAAATCTCTTTTATAAATGAAGGCCGCTTTTCTGCAGTTATACAGTGTTTCTCAGTCTTCCCTAGCGCATGCCCTCAGCCAAGGAGATGGGACGTCTCCCTCTCTGTAGCCTCTGCTACGAAGCAACAGGTCTGTGTGTGTTTTCTGTGGATGTAGATTATAGTATTAATCTCCCATCCATACTTAACACTGCCCCTCCCTGTCTTCTCTCCCTCCTGGTGGTTGGTCAGTCCTCCTAAGTGACAGGTAAGTCTTCCTTACAAATCAAGCACTAGGTCCTGGCCGGCCGCTCAGTTGGATAGAGCCTCATCTCGACATGCTAAAGGTGTAGGTTAGATCTCTGGCCCAGGCCCATACAGGAGCAGCCAGCGAAAGCACAGATAAGTGGAACAACAAACCATTGTGCGCCTCCGCTTCCTCTCTCAAATTAATAAATACATTTTTTAAAATTTAATTTTTAACAAATTTAAGAATCATCACCGGCCTTAAAATGATAGAAGTAGCCATTTATTCATCTATTAATTCAGCGTTAAATTACTGGCGTCAGCCACTATGCACCAGATCCTGGTCTGATGGAGCCCGCGGCCTGGCGGGGGAGACCGGAGATAAAGGAAACACAGACAGACATCATTGCGGACGTCAGAGCGTAGAAGGAATCTGACGCCACGCGGACACTGATCCCGTCATTCCGAAACGAAGATTCCCGAGGCTTGATTTTTGCCTGGGTTGTGGTTACAGGACGACTCTGGTCCGGTCACTCGTGAAATCCATCACGTGACACGGCTTTGCCCAGTGTCATCGCTCCGTGCTGGGGACTGATCTGCCCAGGCAGGATTCGGACCAGAATGACCTTTCCGGTGCAGTGCCTCAGCGCGTCCCTAGATGGCAGTAAAGGTGAACTTGCTGGAGGGCCTCACCCTTGTCTCCCATCTGGTCTCCACTGATTCCAAGGGGAAAGGCCCACTTCCTCGCGCTGGGCATTTGCTGTCTTTCTCCTGCCGAGGGCAGGAATGCTGCCCACTCAGCGCCGTGTGAGGTGAGCGCCTCAGGTCCCGGCTCCGCCCTACGATGACAAAACCCCGCTTTCCTGGCTGCAAAACGGGGGCCACGGTTCCGCACGCACAGACTTCTCGGAGTCGTCGTGAGCATCGAGGGGAATGAATACGTGGACACACTTCAACAACGGCGAGCGGCTTCCCAGTGCAGGGCTGCGATAACAGTGACTTACCACAAACACAAACAGTGCCCGCAGCGGCCGTGACCCCGCCACAGTTAGGCGTTGATTTGGGTAATGGTAAGGCTTCCGTCATGTGCCACGTCACAGGACTGAGCGTCGATTAGATAGGGAGGGCCATTTAATCCCGGGGTGAGCAGCATTTCCTGCCAAGCCCACACTGCGTTTGAGAAACAGCGGTTTCAGTCGATGTCGATACTGACTGGTCATTGATCATGGGAAATGTCAGCTTCTTTTACCGGGGAAGGAGGCCAGCAGCAACTAAGCTTTCCTTTAATACGCAGAGTGTAAAAGCTCTTTTGGAGCCTTTTCCAAAGAAAAAGTGTGTGATACTCATCGGATTACTGCTGTCCTGTCTTTATCTCTGGAGGAAGTTGAGTCCTGTTTTAAATCTATAGAAATCAATGTCCAGTTTATATAACCTGTTGAGGCTTCTAGTATAATAGGTGGCTTATGATTTCCGGAACAATTTTCAGAATTGGAGGAAAAAAGAGTGTTTGAATTTCCCCTTTTTCTGAGTAACTACTCACATTAGATCCTTCATAATTTATCAAAGTCATTGTAAAAAGCGGAGGCAGTGTTTGCTGAGTAAGAGGAAAAGCTGCCGTGGAGAGCAAAGTCCTGTCCTATGGACGCCCCAGGTCTCCCGGGGCCCCTCAGGGGGCAGCCCACGCTCGGCTGTCCCTCGTTTCCGGGGGCGGAGCTGCGAGCCTTCCTCCGCAGGCGCTAGGATCCCAGTGCCTGGCCGGTTTAAGGTGTGTTTTATTTTTCTCGTGGTGCCCAAGTGATCTACACGTGTACGCATGCCGTTGTGTATCCTGTTTCTTAAAAACACACTTGCCTTTCCTTTGCTGTCATTTTTTTGAGCAGCAGTTTTTATAAACCCTCTTTGTGAGTAACTGGTTGATGGCTTGGCCACCACCAGCCTGCGCTTCTGTCCCTCCCTGGGTGGTACCACCACCAGTATGTGCAAGTGACTGCTTACGATCTGTGCTGTGGATCGACCTGGATTAACCTTCCTGCCCCGTTCGGTTCCTTTCCAGGTCCAACTGGCCCACCTTCAACACTCCCTCTAAGCACCCAGACCTCTAGTGGCGCCTCCACCCTGTCCAAGAAGCGGCCTCCTCCCCCACCACCCGGACACAAGAGAACCCTGTCTGACCCTCCCAGCCCACTACCTCACGGGCCCTCAAACAAAGGCGCAGCTCCCTGGGGTAAGTCATCGAACGGCAGGGCTGAGCTGCCCGGGCCAGCTGGTGCGGGGCCTCCTTGGGCCATGGCCGCGCGGGTCCTGCAGCAAACGGGCCGGACCGCACACGCTGGGGTGCGTGAGGATGCGCGTGCTGCCCCTGAAGGCCAGGAAACGTTTCCGAAAGGACTCGGGACCACTGAAAAGCTGTCATGATACTGCCCGGCCCGTGGCTCAGTGGATTGAGCGTCAGCCCATGGACTCAAAGTCCAAATTCGATTCTTGGTCAGGGCACAGGCCTGGGTTTCGGGCTTGATCCGCAGTAGGGGGCGTGCAGGAGGCAGCTGATAGCTGTATCCCTTATCATCCATGTTTCTCTCTCTCTGTCTCTCTTCCTCTCTCTCTCTAAAAAAAGAAAAAATCAATTAAGAAAAACAAAAAAACATTAAAAGTGATCATAATGCCCTGGCCAGTTTGGCTCAGCAGTTGAGCGTTGGCCTGTGGAACAGAGTCCCGGGTTCAGTTCCCACTAGGAGCACGTACCACACACACACAAAAAACTATGATAATACTAATAGTAATACTACTGTTAATAATAACACTACGGTGCTGAGCATTTCCTGTGCACCCGACTGTGCTGAGGAGCCTGCCCCCTAAGCTCACGCGGTCCCAGCAGCAGCCCCGGGAGAGGTGCCGTCAGCTTCGCTGACAGAGGAGGAGGCCGAGGCCCAGAAAGGCCAGCGTCCCTGCTGCTCACGACAGCCAGGACGGCTTCCTTTGCAGACAGCACGCTCATAGTCACCCCCCGCCCCCCGCCCCGCGCCGGGAAACGCAGATCGCGTACCCAGCACCTCGGGGCCCGGTCAGGGTCTTGTCCCAGCCCCTTCCTGCCGCACCAGCTCCGTCACCCTGAGCACATCAGGCTTTGTCCCCTGGGGTGTCCACTCCCTGGACCTGCCACCCCTTGAAGGCTGGCTGTCTTTGGTCCTGGCTGGCGGGTCTGTCTCCCTGGCCCCCCGCTCTGAAGGCCCTTCCTCCTTCCCTGTCCCCTCCTTACCTGTCACAGTTGCTAAGAATTTTGTGTTTGGTTTTTGGTCTAAGCCCCAGGAGAGCAGAGACCTCGTCTTTCTCATTCTCTGTGTTTACAGGGCCTCGAACTGAGCCCAGGACACAGCAGGAGCTCAGTGTATCACTCAAGAATAAATAAACCTACTCAGAGTCGGTTCGTGTCACCATTTCAGTGACCATGACTACAAGTCACAAATTTCCCTCAGCAGGGAACACAATTTCCATCTTTACCTTTTTAGTTCACCTGATCTCTTCACTGGCCTGTCAGCAATTTAGTCAAGAACGAGGGTGTCCCAGCAGGGTCCTGGCCCTCAACGGGGACACACCGCTTTGCAGGGGTCACCCCCTCCTTCCAGGGGGTTTCCTTGTGGCTTTTTTGTTTGCATTTTCATTGTAACTGATAGATCAACCAGCTGAATACCTTTAAAGGCCCCATCAAAAGCCCGTATCAGGTGTTCTGAATTTGGGGAGTTTTTGGAGAAAGCCATAGTACCATCTGCAAACTGGCACCCCTGTCTGTCAGCTGACCCAGATGCCACAGTCCGTGTGCGGCTGTCTGTGTGTGTGGCCCGTCGTTGGGGCTTCTGAGCCCACGTGCCAAAGGAGCTTCTGGGCTGGTGAGGGGCCAGACAGGAAACAGGCAAGTAAATGCTCTCGCTGTGGGGCGCCCTGTTCCCCAAGGCTGTGGAAATTCTGAGAAGCAGAGGGTGAGATGGCACAGGAAGACTGGAGGAGGCGCCGGCGTGGGCGTGAGGGGTCGGTCCAGTGAGACAGGAGGGAGAGCGGTGCAGCCGCGACCCCGGCTCAGCGGCCCGGCCGTCCTGACACTGTCCCAGGCGTGGCCCAGGGCCTTCCGGACCCCCGCGCTTCCTCCAGAAGGACTTCCCCCAGATGGCACCCCACTGCCGGCCACGAGCTTCCTTGCAGATTGTCACATCCCAGAGTGTGACCTCTGCACATCTCTCTGGACACTGGTTCTGTCACTGAGTCATCGTTTTCTGTGTCGGGTTCGAATGCCCGTGTCCACCTTCCAGACACAGTCTGTCCACGTAAGAGTGACCGAGTCTCCTCCTGGGGGACGTTAGGTTCCTCCCATGTGCAGAGTGCTCCCCTGTGGGCCCTGTGTCTAATCCAGCTCCACCCCTTGCTTGGTAGCCCTGTGGCTTTCCGCAAGTATCTTTGAATTGTTTCATACCTCAGTTTCTCCACCTGTAAAATGGGGCTAGTGAATCGGACTTGTCTCATTCTTAACCATAGTTCCCCAGGGAAGGAAACGTCGAGACTCAGAAAGATTAGATCACCTGCCCAGGTTCCCTGAGCTGGTCAGTGAGCCTGTGCCCTCGCCCTCTCCCTGGCCTGCTGCGTTCCGCGCGGGCAGCTCCGTGTGCACCGGCTGCGCCCGTCTCCGCACGTGTTTCTTCACCTGTGAAGCAGAGGCAGGTGGCCCACTCCGCCTGGCTGTGGCCCCTCATCCGTCTGCAGCGCGGAGCCCCGTGCGGGAAGCCGTGCCAGGCGCTCCCTGCCAGAACCACAGTGCCCACAGCCCCCAAACAGCCCTCGGTCCCCTCGCCGAAGGCCCGCGTCTGTGATGAACACAGACACCTGTCCCAGGGGCCGGCAGAGGCCGGCCTTTGATCAGGCAGCCTTCTGGGGGCAGATCTGCGTTTTGTGGGGACTTTGATATTTGAAGTGGCTTATCATTAAACCTCACCTTTGGGGATAAAATAATTTGCCTATAACCTACTTTTAACAGACCAAAGCATATTGTAACGCAATTTAAATAAAATGAATAAGGAAGTGAGGTCAAAGGGAGAATATAGGTAGGAAAGGAGCCAAGTCCAGGAGTGCCATCTAGCCACAAAATACGTAACAGTACATACAGTGGCTAAAAACAGACCACCAGTGTGACACGGAGGCTCTTAGAGGCAAGAGCAGAGGAAAAATACAACTGCTTACCAGTTCGGGGCTGACCACGTGGTGAACTGTTCTCACACTGGAGTTCTGTGCAGTTAACACCTGAGCAGTTTCCCCCAGGACCTCCGTCCTCGAGCAGGTGTTCAGAGAAGCGCCTACAGTGTGCATCGTGGGAAACCATAACGCGAACTGAAGGAACATTCTGGAAGCCTGAGTTCCGATCCAGGTTCCACCAGTCTCGGCCGAGTGGCCTGGAAATGACTTACATTCCTCAGTGTGGCCACAGGGACTTAAAGTTATATGAGCTTTTTGTAACGGAGAGCAAGTCACGGAGGGAGCACTGTCCCACGACGGGAGTCTCTCCTGTTCCGAGGCCAGAACGTCCATGCGGGAGGCTCGGTCCTGGAAATGTCCGAGCTGGGCCGTGCGCATCTGCTTATCGGAAGTCGTGTCGGCTTGTCCAGAGCCTTTGGTTAGAAGTGTGGTTTTCCCTGGATTTCTCCATCTGGTTTCATGACCAGCCCCACCCCCCACCCCACCCCACCCCCGCTTTGTATGAGTCGTAGAAATAATGCTTCTGCCACCTACAGACTGTTTGCCAGGTGCCAGGGCTGGTCACTTGTTCGTGCTGTATTAAGGGACGATTGTCGCCGTGGGCTCGCCCAGAAGCCCCAGTCCCGCGGCCAGTGCGCCTGTCCCCCCACAGCTCCTGGCACACCCGGCATCTGTCCGGCGCTCTTCCACGTCTTCATGTTACTCTGGGTCCTTTTCCAGACGGCACGAAGCAGAAAACGGACTGAGCTTTGTTCCTCCTCCTCCCTCCATCTCCTCCTGTGCTCAGGAATGTCTCTAAACTGTCCCTCTCTTCCCGGCCATGGCAGGTGGCCTTTGCCTTGCTCTGAGCGTGACGGGCCCCTGCCTGTCGGGCCCCAGGTGCCTGCCCGCCCGGGTGTGAGAAACGCCGGGGCAGAGGGGCTGCGTCAGCGCTGCGGGTCCGCTCTTCATCCAGCAGCCCAGGTGCCTGCCCCGCGCCAGTCGCTGGGCCGGACGGTGGGGCCACGACGCGAACGAGGCAGGGCCCGTCCTCGACGTGCTCACTCACTGAGCCGGCACTGCTGCTCCGGCCCATCGGGTACCATTGCGCCAAGGCCTGTGCTCCGCCCTCCGGGGATCCTCTGGGGGTGCTCATACCCGCCCCGTGGGGTCGGGACTGTTGTTCCCCCTCTACAGGTGAGGGAGCTGAGGCTTAGCAGAAGGAGCCATGTAGTCCAAACTCATCCCCGTTGGTCAGCAGTGTGGCTGGAATTCAAAACTGGGCCTGTCTGGCTCCAGCATCGGCACCTGAACCAGTCAGTCCTTAGGATCAGCAGGCGCGGGCCTGGAGAAGCAGGGGGCAACCATGGCTGGGGAGAATCTTGGAAATCGGCTTTGGAGGTGTTCTTTGAAGATTTCCCAAGAATTTACCTCTAGCGGGAGGGGGGACAGTGGGGGCTGAGTTACAGAGACACAGACACGACGTCTTTGGAGATGTAAGGGCCAGAGAACATGCTGCCCCGGAGGCCAACCGGCACGTGGCCAGCCTCTCCCTGTCCCGTGGGCTCAGGGGACGGGAGGAGACAGACGGGTGGTTCAGAGTCGCTGCGGGTGGACACCTCCGCCTTGGGTCCTAGCTCGGGCCCTCACAGCTACTGGACCTTGGGCTTGGCTGTACTTCTGGGTTTCTTTTGTTTGTTTTTTAATCCTCAACTGAGGATTTATCTGCAGATAGAGTGGGAGGGAGATAGAGGGAGAAAAGGAGAGAGAGAGAAACATCGACTGGTTGCCTCCTGCACAACCCCGGCCAGGGCTGGGGACCAAACTGCAGCCAAGGTACATGCCTTTGGCCAAATCGAACCCATTGGTCCTCTGGCCAGCGCTCTACTGCTGAGCCAAACCGGCCAGGGCTTGGCTGTACTTCTGTGTTGTTTCTCCCTGTGTAAAACGGAGGTGGTTGCATCATGTATCTCATAAGGTGCTGAGCACAGAACCTTCCTCACAGTAAAGGCTCAGTAAACCGTGGTTGCCATTTTCAACTTTACCGTCGGGGTGGTGATAAGTGACAAAACGCACGCAGACTTGTGGTCGGACTTCTAGGCTCTCGTTTAGCCGTGTGACCTGGAGCCATTCGTCCCCTGAACTTCGTCCCTTGTCTTTGATGTGGAGACGCCCAGCTCGGGTCCGGGAGCAGCCACTGCAGGCAGGGAGCGTGCTCGGCCCTGCCCTCTCCGTCCGCCCGCGTGTCCCAGCACCCCAGCCAGCCCTCCCCGTCCTCCGGGGGTGTCACGGGTGTCCGGCGGGAGGACACGTGGGTTTCCAGCGCAGTTGTTGGAAGGACAAGCAAGGAAGTGGCCTCGAGCCCAGAGACAGCTCAGGTCCCGGGGGTTTCTCCTGGGTGCTGGCAGCTTGGCCCAGGCGCTCCTGCACGGGGATGGGTCACCGAGGAGCCGCCTTCACGGCACCGCGTCTTCCTGCCTCCTGCACAGAGCGCACCCGCCTGGTTCCGGTGCCCCTCCGTCAGACAGCGCTCCTCTGTTCAGGGGCCGCGTGCCCCAAAGACGACTTCCCGCCCCCTCACCAGGGAGGCTCAGACGCGACCCCCCGTTCACAGCGCCCAGCTGGTCAGTGTCCAGCGGCTCCCTGGCCAGACCTTAAACTCGGCAGGAGCAGTGACGCTCATTTGCTCTCGTGCCTCCTGCTCCGCGTTCACGCCTCGCACACAGTAGGTGCTGACGTTCGCATGAACGACGAGTGGCTGAGGCCCTTCCCAGCAGATGGCCAGTTAGCTCCCCCTTGCTGGGCCGGGTCCACACGCTCACACTCCTGTTGGTGGTGTTTCCTCTGCGTCGGGTATCTCCTGGCCTGGGAACCTCGGGGTGAACTCGCACACGCTGCTCAGTCTGCTCAGTTCCTTTCTGGAACCTCAGGGCGCGTGTCCGCCAGATGCTGTCCTCACGTCCGCTGCAGCCCCTCACGTCCGGCTCTCTCTGCAGGTAACGACATGGGTCCGTCGTCGTCAAGCAAGACCGCAAACAAGTTCGAGGGACTGTCCCAGCAGTTGAGGTGAGCTTCCTGGGCTCACGGCCGCGGTGCACAGGACAGAGACGGGTCTTAGTGAGTCTGTTCCGGGGTGCGCTGCGCGCGGACAGCTTCCTCCACGGGGGTTCCAGGTGGGGCTGGACCTCGCGTCCCTGAATCAGTCTGTTGGGATGAGGTTTTATTTTAAATTTTTTAAATTAAGTCATTTTGTCGTGTTACTTTTCCTCTTGGCTCCATTGTGCAGACTTGGGGATGAAACGGTGGTGCTCAGTGAAGCCCCACAGCCCAGAGGTGTTCACACGTGAGGCTGTGCCGCGCAGGGCTCTCTGGAGAGGCCCCGGAGGCAGGGGCACAGCCCCTCCAGACCCAGACCTCGGGGAGTCCGCCGGTGTGTGCGACTGCTCCTCTCCGGGGTTTCCCCATTTCCTGTCATGCCACCGTCGCATTTAGTCCTGACAACCCCACGGGCCGGGCGCAGTAGTCCTGTGCTCGCTTTTCCATGAGGAAACAGCTCGCGAGGTTGAGGGGTGGCGGGTGGTCTCCACGCTGGACTCGGGCCCTGGCTCTCCAGACCCCCAGCCCGGAGTCTCCCTCCCCCGGCCCCGCCTGCTGGGCCTGAGAAAATCGCTCCAGAAATGTGTGAAGCGGCCCCTCTGGAGCTCGCTGTGCCGTCACTAGTGGGTTTGTCCCAGCAACACTGTGACCCCCCCGGTGACAGGACCCGCGCAGCTGAAAGGGAAGGAGAAAGAGGGTGATTCGAGGCCAGGACGGGGGAGGACCCCATGTCGTCCTCTCTCTGTGACTCGGTTTTCGTTGGCTGGTTTGACTTTCCCTGTCCTTTTTTGTTTTTAATCCTCTGCCGAGGATTTTTTTTTTTTTTTTTTTTTGCATTAATTTTCAGATAAAGCTGGAGGAAGAGAGAGCGAGAGACACATCAATTGGTTGCCACCCACACGACCCCACCTGGGGCTGGGGACGAACCGCAACTAAGATACGTGCCCTTGGCTGGAACTGAACCCGGGACTCTGGTGCGCGGGCGACTTACTGCTGAGCCAAACCGGCCAGGACTCCTGTCCTTTTAAATGCAGTTAGGACAGAAGGGAAAGCCAACTCCTAGGACATCAGAGGACGGACCAGGAGAAGTGGGGTGCCAAGAAGGGTGTTGGCAAGCCGACCGGGCCCTGGCTGCAGCGCCCGTGTCCAGACAGTGGGGTGGCCCCTTGGTGAGGGAGGCCGTCTGCAGTGCTGGTTTCCAAGGTGGCGGGGCTGTGGGGGTTCACATTGGGCTCTTCAGACGACACTGTGGATCTGTCGCAGGGACCTGGGCCTTCTCCCTGCCGTTTACATGGCCTCCCAAAGAGGGCAAAGCCTGGGGGCGGGGGTCTGACACCCAAGCTGCTCCTCTTGGAGTCCAGCAGAGCCGGTTCCGGTGTCCATGTCCACCGACCAGCCTCGGGACCTGCTGAAGTCTCCTCGTCTGAAAAAGGGGACGGGCGGGGTCTGTGGGTCGCGTGACATGAGTTACTCCCCTGGGAAGAGGCCCCAGCAGGAGGAGGCGTCAGCCCGAATCTCCAGAAACACCTTTCCCGTCCCCCCCGCCGGGCGGACTTGGGGTTATGGAAACTAGACTGTCACCTTTCGCCAAGGAAGTTTGGAGGGGGCTCTGGGGAGCGCGGGGAGCGCCCGCGACTGTCTGGTGCCGCAGCACCGGGTCCTAAATGGCTTGTGTGTCCATCAGCACCGGCTCTGCGAAGACGGCCCTGGGCCCGAGAGTTCTTCCTAAACTACCTCAGAAAGGTAAGTCCCTTCTGTCCCCACGTGCAGCCAGGGTCCCTGTCTCTCTCGGTCACTCGGGTCTCATGCCCAGGACATGTGTTCCATGAAGAGGATATTGATACACTCAGATTAGCAGAGCAACTCACTTCTCCTAAAAGGCACAATGTTCTTCCACGAGACACATCCTTAGACCTGGGTCCCAGCTTCTCTCGCAAACCTCATCAGCCCGGACCTGGTTCGAGCTCTGCCACGGAGGGGCCGTGTGGCCCGGACGTGGGGCGGGGATGCCTCCTTCCTGAGGCTCGGTGGGGGCGAGATGAGGTCACAGTTCCGAAACCCTCGCTCGTGGCCCCAGGATGGCAGCTGTCGAGCAGAGTGGGGACCCTCAGGCTCCTCCATGCCAGCGCTCACGTTAGCTGGTCTCTTCAAGGGCCCGACGGGAGGGCGCGGTGCCTCCCCAGGTGTTCGTCCCCGTGACCCCCTCTGCTTGTCCCCACAGTGGCACTACGGAAGACAGAAACCAGCCACCATCTCTCCCTAGACAAAGCCGGTGTCCCGCCTGAAGTTGCCCAGAAATCCGCACAGCCGGCGGACGTGCCGCAGAAGCCACCACCTGGAGACCTGCCCCCAAAGCCCACCGAGCTGGCTCCCAAACCCCAGATTGGGGACCTGCCCCCTAAGCCAGGAGAACTGCCCCCCAAGCCACAGCTGGGCGACCTGCCACCCAAACCCCAGCTCTCAGACTTACCTCCGAAGCCACAGATGAAGGACCTGCCTCCGAAGCCACAGCTGGCGGACCTGCTGGCAAAGTCCCAGCCCGGCGACGTCTCGACCAAGGCTCAGCCGTCCGACGCCACCCTGAGGCCGCACCCCGCGGACCTCTCCCTGAACATGCCGGCCCGAGACGCCGTGCGGAAGCAAGCCTCGGAGGATGCCAATGACCTGACGCCCACTCTGCCCGAGATGCCTGTCCCGCTGCCCAGGAAGATCAACACGGTGGGTCTGAAACCAGGGCCGTAGCCGGGGTTGGGCGGGGTCCAACTCATGCGGAAAAGTGAGCACCTGTTCACCCGACGAGCTCTGGCCCGCTCTGCGCCGGAGGGGGCCTGCCTGTTAGGGGCACAGGCTGCAGTGCCCACTCGCCGTGCCCTCTCCCCGCTCCGGCCCCCCGCGCAGGAAGGAGCTGGGCGCGGCAGCTCGGCTCGCAGGCGGTTCAGTGCCCTGAGCAGGCTCTGGAAGGTCATTTCCCTATTTCCATCTTCCTGTTCGCAAAGAACTGGAAGTTCAGCAAACACGAGCCCAAGTCAGATCAGTCAGCACTCGCCGCTGGGGGGCGCCGCCCGGAGCCCTCTTCAGCCGCGTGTGCCGACTGGCACTTTGCACAGGCCTGAGAAACGTGTCGATGCTGCAGTTCAGCGGCAGAAGCTGCGGGTTCGCTCTGCGTCGTGATCCCAAACCCGTGTTCAGACCCCGCAGTCACCTCGAGGCTGCTGGGGGAGGGGGGGGCAGCGCGCCCGGCTCCTGACGCCAGGGGAAGGGCAGGGCTGTCCTGGCCTGAGATGTCCCAGGACGCAGAGCGAGTGGCAGGCGTGCTCCCCCAATCACAGCCGAGAAACAGGCTCGGGGAGGTGCCGTCACTTCCCAAGACCAGGGTGTCCCCTGTCCCTCCAGTCGGTCCTGGCGGCTGACACCGTCTGTGTTGCAGGGGAAAAGCAAGGTGAGGCGAGTGAAGACCATCTACGACTGCCAGGCCGACAACGATGACGAGCTGACCTTCATCGAGGGCGAGGTGATCGTCGTCACGGGCGAGGAGGACCAGGAGTGGTGGGTACGTGCTCACCGCCCCCCTCCCCGGCTCGGTCCGCTGGCCGCTGCACCTGCTGGGCCCCCGCTCCCTGCGGGGGGCCTCGTCCTGGCGGGGTTCCACTGGCCTCACTTCCAGCTTCCCTGTGGGGGGCTCTGTCACTGTCTCACCTGCTACACAGACAGCTGTGGGGCTTGGAACTGGGTCAGGAGAGTTCCGGGCGATGCGCCTGACCCTCGATTCCCTGCCACAGCCTGTGAGCAGGAGGCATTTTGCAGATGCAGAACCAAAGCTCCGGGAAGCACGTTGCCGGAGGCGCGTGGCCAGCTGGCTGTGCCGGTCCCCGGTCCCCACGCCGCTGCCATCCGCTTCCCGGGGCTGGGAGGACAGGCCTGCCTCCTGTCCACCGCGCTGACCTCGGCTCGCTCTGGGGCCCTCCTGTGGGCCTGTGTCTTCGGTGGGACTCGGGGCTTCCTCGTGCTTGTGGGAGAAGAGTGAATGAGAATATCTATAAAAACTCCTTTCGCCCAGGCCAGTTTGGCTCGGCGGTTAGAGCGTCGGCCCGCAGACCAGAGAGACCGGGTTCGGTTCCCGCTAGGGGCACGTACCTCGGTTGCAGTTTGTCCCCGGCCCTGGTTGGGGTCGTGTGGGTGGCAGCCACTCGATGTGTCTCATGTCGATGGTTTTCTCTCTCACATCCATGTCTCTCTCTCTCTCTTCCTCCCTCTCTCCCTTCCACACTTATCTGAAGATAAATGCAAAAATGTCCTCAGGTGAGAATTAAAAAAACAAACAGAAACCCCCTTCACGTGAAGCCTGCTGCCCACCTTCCAGCAGGGGTCAGCATCCGTGTCCTCACATGGGCTGTTTGGACATCGAGGCCCTTGGCGATGCCTGTAGTTCGCAGCTGGGCCAGCAGAACCTAACGCTCAGAAAAGCTCGCGCCCGTGCACGCGTGTGTACACTCACACACTCACGCTCACACGTGTGCACACCTCTGGCTCAGGATAGGGCCCGGACAGGGACTGGATCCTTGAGCAGCTGCAGGGACTTGGCTTGGACTGAAGCGGCGGTTCCCAGCCGGCCCAGTGCGGCAGCATCAGAGGCGCTGGGTGTCGGGACCGGGAAGGGTGTTCGGAGGCGCTGTGTTGGGAGAGCCCCCTGGGGGGCGCTCGGCCCCTCTGGGAGAGTTGGGCCTGTCAGCGAGCCGACTTCGCCATGGCAGGGAGGTGGGCTTGGCGGCCCCAGTGAGTCGCTCACTAGGTGGCCTTGGACAAAGCACGTCCCTTCTGTCAGCCTCAGTTTCCTCCTCTGAGAAATGGGGCAGCAGTGACCCCCACCTCACAGGGCTGCTAAGAGCTCACGCCTGGTGCCCCTCAGACCCAGGAGGGGGTAAGCCAGGCCTTACCGTTGACTCCACTTTCTAGGTGAGGGCGCCATGCCCAAAGCCGCTGACTGCCCAGGGGCACAGGCCTGTGCACAAAGGGCCCGGCGTGGGCTCAGCACACAGCCGAGCGACAGCTGGCTGCCTGGCTCTCGAAGCCGCCTGCTCCCCGCCTGGCCTTTGACCAGGGTGCAGGCCCCTTGGTCCCCTCACGACAGCCTGTGGCCTGCAGCCCCCACCGGGGGCAGGGATTAGGGGGTTTGCGCAGGGGCCGCCTCAGGCTGAGGCAGCAGACCCCGGTCCTCCCCTGCAGCAGCCAGGAGACCGGCGCCGGCGCACAGGGGCCCCCAGGCGTCCACGTCACGGCACAGCAGCCCGAGAGGAGGGGTGGTTCGGGCCCTTTCACAGACGGGGATAACAGCCTCCGTCCAGGCCGCCAGCCCGACGGGGCTCACGTGTCATGTGTCCGTGAAGCTGCGGCGGTCTCCGTGTCCCCTGCCTGTGTGCTCACCCCAGGTCAGGTCCCCTTCCACCACCACGGACCCCGTGACCGCTCGGCCTCCCGCGCCCCTGCCTTCCCTCCGGCAGGCCCCGCACTGTCCCCGTGTCTGAGTTTGTTTTCTGTGGGGTTTTTGTTGTTTTTCTTAATCTCCTCACCGTTTCCACGCAGCCCCCGCCGCCCCCGACGGCGGTCAGTCTGTCCTCTGTGTCTGCGAGTCTGATCCGTCGCGTGTTCGTTCACCTTGTTCGTCAGATTCCGCGTGTGAGTGGGAGGCGGTGCTGTCTGTCTGCTCCTTTCCCGAGCGCGACGCCGTCCAGTCCCTTCCCGTGGAAATGAGGGTCCTCGCGGGGTGCCCGCCGTGCTGTGGGGTTCCCGTGCTCTCTGGCTCACCGCGGGGGCGGGGGCCTGCACCCCTCCCCAGGCCTTCTGGGGCTGCGACCCACCAGGTTGGTCACGGGACGGCCTCCAGCCCGACACCCCTTGTCTCTCCCCGCAGATCGGCCACATCGAAGGACAGCCGGAGAGGAAGGGCGTCTTCCCCGTGTCCTTCGTGCACATCCTGTCCGACTAGAGAGAAGCAGAACCCGGAGACCGCCCACGCCCTGCACGCCTGACCGCCGCCCGTGCCCTGTGCACACGTGTGTCTGCTGTTCCGGAACAGAGCCCACGCAGGGCCGCTCAGGAGGGAACGGAGTGTGTGTTGTAAATAAATAAATACCCTGTCTCTCTGCCTTCGCCAGTGTTATGGGAGCCCGGGGCCTGACGCGTCTTCCTGGTGTGCCAAAGCCGCGCTGGCGTCTCGCACTTACGTCTCTGTCTGTGCTGTCTCCCGAGCGAGCGGGCTTTGCAAATAGAAGTGGTCTCAGCAGCCGCCACAGGCGTCCACGCGACCCCGTCGCTAGCCGTGCAGTGTTCTCGATCATGTGACTGAACGTGCCGCTCGAGCAGGAGGGGGCTGTTCTCCGGGGAAGCTCTTGGCCCCGTGACAGACCAGCCCGTAGTTCTCTGTGTCCACAGTTTACAGCCCCAGGCACCTCCTTCGGTATTTATTACAGAAAAGTGCTCAGTAAACATGTGTTAGCCCCACAGCAAAACAGTCACTGACCCCCAGACCCTGGGTGGCATTTCGCAGTGCCCACCGCCTCACGCAAGCGCAGACACGCGGATCCATGCTGTCTTACGAGGAGTGCCCGCCCCTGAGATGTTACCTCATTATGCAAAAATAACATAGCCTTCATGACTATTTTGACAAAAGTATAAAACCCCTTGGGTGAAGTTCAACGTTCAGGAACCGAGGACGGCCAGAAACGTTAGCCTGTGCGTCATGCGTGCGTTTAGAAGCTCACCGGAAATCTGCCTTTTATAAAGGAACCGCGCCGAGCGCTGAACTGGACGTTTTCAAACCTGATTGCCATTAAAAGCGGAGATGACGAGGTTGCAACAATATCTGTTTCTAGTCAGTCCTTTGGCCTTCTCAAGAGTGTGGGTGTACATGTCATGTCACATTCGCGTCCTTCCCGTGTGTTCGAGCATCTCGTGCGTCGGTTTACATTATGTCCATAGTTCTGTTCTTGACCAAGGTAAACCCTTCGAAGGTGATGCAGGAGGGTGACGGGTTTGAGTCACCCTGCCCACGGTCTCCCCACCGGAGAACCCAGGTGCTGAAACCAACCTCCCCTGTTTCCCAGGCTCGTCCGCAAGCCCTGGCCAGCTGTAGGGATGCCCTCCAGCCCCAAGCCCTGCCCGGCGGACACGCCATCAAGTCAGCTCACAAGCGAGGTGTAGCAGCTCGGAGCTGCGCTGTGAAAACAGCTCTTCCTGCCATGCGTCCCGGTGTCGCGCCCGGGTGTTTATCAGACCGTGAGAGCGCCCTGCGGATTTCGGCCTTTGGCCTGAGTCGCCGTTTTGGAGAGAACGCGGCGGGTGGTGCGCCCCGGCCGGCCCGCTGCGCTCCGAGCGAGCGGCGCCTCGTGTCCCGCTGCCTGCGTCCGCTCACGCGCTCTGTGGGCAGCCACACCGAACACTAACGTTTGAGGCAGGTTGTCTCGGCAGTAGTGAGACCTGTTCATTCACAGAAGCACCACTCCCAGCCGAGCCCGGAGGAAAAGCCGTCACTAACGGTCACAGCGCTCGGTGACTTCATGTAGTTCTGCATAAGTGGTGACTGAAAACCTAGCCACCTGGTTAGTCACCCTGCATGGCCGGCCCGTGGCGTGTCTCCCAGCTCTTAGTGGGAAGCGAGCTTCAGCCCGGTTCCTCGGCCCCCTCACAGCACAGGCGACTCCCACAGCGCGTCAGGGGCCGGCGTGTCTGCGGCCTCAGGACGCAAGCCACACAGGTGTCAGGACAGGACGTCACCGTGCCCCCGAGTCCCTCTCTGCTCTGGTCCATTCAAATACACATGTTCAGTTGCATTCAAAAACTTCACTTTTTCAGCGTAGAGTATTTTAACTGATCTCAACATAAGCTGGTTTCTTTAAAAATACAAAAAACAAGCTAGATGTCTAGAATGACATGGAATCAGTGTTGTTCTTCTACCCCTTTCACAGCAACTCTGACGTATTTTTTACTCCTATTTTTTCGGGTTTTGTCGTTGTTTTTCATCAGGAATCTGAGTTCTCTCTGACCCAGCTTACCGGGGACATAGGAAAACTAGGTGTAAACACCTTTGCTGATCTTGGTTGCGTTGAAATCTGATATTGTTCTTAAACTCAGTGAGCCACTATCTGCAATTTTGTACATGAGATAGTATTTTGAAGGTATGGAACCTTAAGAGAAAAAAAAATAGCTAATTAGTTCTTTTTTTCCCCCAGAGGGGAAAGGTATGTTCTGCAAATAGTGTGTCTTATTTTACTGTTGAACAACAATTGCTATTTATTTTTTTATGGCCTAGAACTTCGACCTGTTGTATAGACTCCCGCAGACCACCCGTTCAGCTCCGACGTCTCATCTGGATGTTACGCTCAAACAGCAGTACACTGTCGTTCTACATGTATTTAATGTGACAGTTTTTTTTCCAGTACTGTATGTGTTCATTTCTACTTTTTTTAATATTTAAAATTGCTTTTAAATAAACATATTCTCAGTTGATCCCAAACCTCTGTGATCAGGCCATTCTGTGAGTTGTCCTCCTGCGTTGGGAGACAGCCCAGGCGCCCTCGGCCGCGCCGTGGTGGGCAGATAACACGGCATTGCCACTCCCGCGGGAGACTTCGCCTGGACCCGTACAGTGTACGTGAGTCTCCTGGGCTGACAGAGCCTGGCCCCCGACGTCCTGGCCCTCCGCCCAGGCCCAGGTCTGGTCCCGTACGTGAGCAGGGCAGAAGGGTGCCGGGCTCAGACAAGTGCTGTGAGTGGTGCTGCCCTGCAGTGAGCAGACCCAGGGCACCCGCGCCTCCTCTCATCCTCGCCGAGGAGAGGTAGGAACCCTCCGCTTCCCCGGGCGTGGTTCACTGCCGTGCAGAGGTCGTGGCCAGTGAACCACCGAGTTGGGCGTCCAGACCGGGGACTCTGGCTCCAAGGCCACCACGGGGATTCCTGCCGCACGGAAGACGGTCCCCGTCACAATGTTCTAGCCAGAGACACACGGTGGAGAGCTGACCGGGACCACGGCCCCGAAGCTTCTGGTCCCCTGTCCCCTTCCCACAGAGTGGGCGGATGTGTCGCCGGCTCTAGACACACCAACCCTACAAAGGCGGGGAGATGGGCTCGGCTTGGAGACCTGGGAGTCCATGGGGTGTTCCTGGGAGAGAGCAGCATAAATACTGGTGATTCAAGCAAAGGGGCGGCCAGCGTTGCATCTGATACAGAAGGGGACGATGGCGTGTGTAAACCTGGGACAGTGTCTGATTGAAGTTAATGGGAATTGCCCCTCCAGTCCGCTGGGCCCGACAGCCCTCTCCCAGTGCTCCTGGGAACTGGGGCTCCCCCATCCCTCTGAACCCGTGTTTCCTGTGCACGTGTGCAGCCCCCTGAAAGGTGAGCTCTGAGGCACGTCCTCAGGGGGGACCCTCAGGGAGCTGAAGGGACTGCTCCAGGTCTCAGTAGGTCACCGCGGCAGTTCCAGCCCAAGCCTCCCCTCCCCCCACCCCTGCACTGCCCCCACTTCCAGGACGTGGGTGTACCTGTGGCGGGGGTGGTGGTGGTGATGCTAATCACTAAGGTAACTCTGCCTGTTGTACTTTGCCCCCACGCACGTCCTCAGCTGCCCCGGATGACAGCTTATTTGCAGGGTCTGCAGTATGTGGGTGCTCAGCGCGGGTGGGCTCACCTCTCCAGCAGGGGTGCCTGCCTCAGGATGGCCCCCCACACACACAGTGACGGAATGACCGGTGCCTTCAGCCTGACCTCCGTGCTCAGCCCGCCCCCTGCAGCCCGCAGCCGGGGTGAAGGCGAGGTCGCCCAACTACGTTCCCTAACCCTCAACATTCCCCTGTTAAGACGGTGCCAGGACTGTGTTCCAAGTCCCGAGAAGGCCGCAGGCGGGGGGGGGGGGGCAGGCTAGGGAACATCTCTGTGGGCGCACCTGGTGGGAAGCTTCCTGGGGGAAAGGGGGTCTCCACTCATCCTGGGCCTGTTGGAGTGAGCAGGCGGGGGTGGGGGGGCAGCATGGTGTCCCAGAGACAGCTGGCGAGGCCGCAGGCCAGGGGCCTTATCAGCACGACCCCGTTCTCAACAACATGGCCCTGTAGAGTGCTCATTTCCCCCGTGTTTGCAGCTCCGGACACTGAGGTTCGGGGACGTTAACTCGTGACTTGCCAAAGGTCAAGTCGCTCATGAAGGGTGGAGGCCGGGCTGGAACCCTGCGGTCAGGGCCCAAGCAGCTCCCAGCCGTGACACCCCCCCGCCCCCCCAGGCTGCCTCTGCCACCACCGTGTTCCCTGGCTGCCCTTTCCGCGGAGAAACTAGGTCAAAGCCAGCCCGCCTCCCACGGACAGGTCCCGGCCTGGGGAATGTGAACCGTGGACGCGATGACGCTTCCCACTCAGAACAGGCGCACGGCCGCCAGGAGTGTTTCCTGGACAGCGCTCTGCAGCCCCGGGCGGCCGGAGGGCGGCTGGCACGTGCCCTGCTGCCCCCCGTGCCTGGGACGGAGGCCCAGTGAGCCTCTGTCGGCGAGCACGGCAGCCCCCGAGGCCACGCTGAGACTCTTCTGCTCCTGCAAACAGGAACGAAAGCTCAGATAAACACAGCTGTTTTGCAAAGATCTTACCACACAGCACCCCCGAGTCCGGGGCTCAGAGGCCAAAACCGTGACCTTCTGCCAAATGGCCAGGGGACAAGCCTTGCTCGGCTTCACACGTTCAGGGACAGAATCTAACATTTTGCTTCGCAGGTCCAAGCAGACTGGAGGAGAGAGATGACGACTGTGTCCTCCACACGCTGGCCTGAAACTACATTAGGGCCAGGCTTTCAGATGTGGGCGGCATGAGTCCTGGGCCCTGTCCTGGGTCTCAGAGGGGCCTGGGGGTCTGCATGTAGCCAGCATCCCCAGATGAGTCCCTGCAAGAAGGCACAGGTCCATCCTGGACCACTGCTCTGCTCCTAAGAATCTAGAATTGACCCAAAAAGGGAGGGTCACCCAGA